GGGAGAGACAGAGAGAGAGGTCTTCCATCCACTGGTTCACTCCCCAAATGGCTGCAACGGCCGGAGCTGCACCAATCCGAAGCCAGGAGCCAGGAGCTTCTTCCAGGTCTCCCACGCAGGTGCATGGGCCCAAGCACTTGGGTCATCCTCTACTGCTTTCCCAGGCCATAGCAGAGAGCTGGATCAGAAGAGGGGCGGCCGGGACTCGAACCGGCACCCGTATGGGATGCCGGTGCCGAAAGTGGAGGCTTAGCTCACTACGCCACAACGCGGGGAGAAGGGGCCCTTCTGTAGGCCTGGCAGGTTCAGGGGAGGCTGGGAGCGCAGTGTCCTTGGGTGCAGCCACGTGTCAGCACCCATTCTCCCTGTCGGGGTCCTGATGCTGGGCTAGGAGCCCGCGGGAGTGGGGGCAGCCTCTCTTGCAGCCCCTCCACCTTCACAGTCGGATGCCGAGCCTGATTTCAGGTCATGGAGAACGGCTGTCTTCCACTGCTGGCCTGAGTGCAGCCTGCCGTTCTCTTCCTTCCGGGCTTCTCATACAGCCCGCTCCGCAGTCCTCACTGCCACGACCTCGCCCTCCAAGCCCATTGCCACGTCAGTCTTGTCCCTGGAGTTCCACGGTTCCAATCAGCACACAGTGCTGGGCCTGGGACGCTGCGGTGCTGCAGGGCTCAGCACCAGCTCCTGGGCCCTCAGGGTTCCGGCGCCGAGGAGGGCTCAGATTTCAGAAGCCCGTCCTGCCTCCTGCACCAAATGTCTAGGGCAGATTAAGCAATGTGCGACCAGGACTTGTGGGCTGCCGGTTTACGTGGGCAGTAGTCCCTAGATGTGCAATGTCGAGAATGGAGAATATGGGAAAGGCAGGGGAGAAACCCAGAAAGCTGTACCATGTGAAACTGTTAGTGGAGATGCTGGGGTACAGGTTCTGGTCTTCGCGCATAGAATTCAGACGTGAGACAGGAGGGGGAGCAAAGCATCCATTAGAACGGATGGGCAGCCGGCACCACGGCTCACTAGGCTAATCTTCCGCTTTGCGGTGCCAGCACACCAGGTTCTAGTCCTGGTCGGGGCGCCGGATTCTGTCCCAGTTGCCCCTCTTCCAGGCCAGCTCTCTGCTATGGCCAGGGAGTGCAGTGGAGGATGGCCCAAGTCCTTGGGCCCTGCACCCCATGGGAGACCAGAAGTACCTGGCTCCTGCCATTGGATCAGCGCGGTGCGCCGGCCGCAGCGTGCTGGCTGTGGCGACCATTGGAGGGTGAGCCAACGGCAAAGGGAAGACCTTTCTCTCTCTCTCTCTCTCTCTCTCTGTCCACTCTGCCTGTCAAAAAAAAAAAAAAAAAAGCAGAGGCGGCTGGTGCCGTGGTGCAGCAGGTAAAGCCGCTGCCTGCAGTGCCGGCATCCCATATGGGTGCTGGTTTGAGTCCTGGCTGCTCCATTTCCAATCCAACTCTCTGCTATGGCCTGGGAAAGCAGTGGAAGATGGCCCAAGTCCTTGGGCCCCTGCGCCCGTGTAGAAGACCTGGAAGAAGCTCCTGGGTCCTGGTCTTGGCTTCTGATCGGTTCAGCTCTAGCCATTGTGGCCATCTGGGGAGTGAACCAATGGATGAAAGACCTTTCTCTCTGTCTCTCCATCTCCCTATCTGTAACACTGCCTTTCAAATAAATAAATAAATAAAATTTAAGAAAAAAAGTCTGCATTCAGACTGGGGCATATAAGGGAGTGGGGTCCAGTTCTTCCTGCTGTTTCTCCCTCCCCCACCCTCTTCCCCTGGACAACAGGTTTGCTGGGTGTGTAGCTGATGAAATTCCTCCCAAGGTTTTATTGCCAATGTTGTCAGACTGCGTAGCCCACTTGGCACCAGGCCAAGAGGAGTCTCCTGGGGAGCTTTCCTGAGGAGGATGGGAAGGCTGGGACCACCTGGAAAGTTAGCAGGGCGTGGGCAGAACTTTGTATTCTAACATGTGCTGCACGGGCTGCTACCCTCCCTTCTGGGGAGGTGGGGGAAGAGCTTGGTTTTCCTTGGACCAGGCTAGCAGACATGGGCTGACTTAAAACTTCCTACTAACACTGCTGGGGACCTCCTGGGGAGCCCTGTAGAGCCTGCCCTGGCATTGTCACCCGGGGTCCTTACTGCGGGACACTGCCCAGTGCTGGCTTAGCGTTGCCACTAAGGCCAATTCAAGGTTGCTCGTGGCAGGGTGGAACAAACTCCTGTGGCACTGAAGCCCTCGGAGGCCTGCCGACAGGGGTGGTGGGATGTGCCGGCTTGGAGCTACCACTGTGGCTGCAGGTGAGCCCAGATGTGGGCCGGGTGTTGCCCGAGGTCACGCCCCCAGGAAGTGGTGGGGAGCCAGGATACCCAGGCTCGTGACTCCAGGTCACACTGCCTGTTCAACAGACCAGAAAGCGGAAGTGCCTGCCCCGGCTGCCACCAAGTGATGATTCCAAGAGGACGTTTTGGGGACGATCTGTGCTTCTGCTTAGCCTTTGATGGAAAGCTTGAGTTTCCCCAGGGTAACCCAAAGTGCTACGCAAGCACAGTGTCAACACTAGCCCCCCAGGCCTGGTTTCTCGTGGGCTTGTCTGCCTAAGATCCATCTAGAATTATTTGGGGGCTGGTAGCCAGAAGCAAGGAGGCCCCGGTCTCCCAGCTTGAGCCCCAACTCTTTTTTTTTTTTTTTTTTGACAGGCAGAGTGGACAGTGAGAGAGAGAGAGAGACAGAGAGAAAGTCTTCCTTTTCCATTGGTTCACCCCCCAAAGGCTGCTGCGGCTGGCGCACCACGCTGATCCGAAGCCAGGAGCCAGGTGCTTCTCCTGGTCTCCCATGCGGGTGCAGGGTTCAAGGACTTGGGCCATCCTCCACTGCCTTCCCGGGCTGGGCCACAGCAGAGAGCTGGACTGGAAGAGGGGCAACTGGGACAGAATCCGGCACCCTGACCGGGACTAGAACCCGGGGTGCCGGCACCACAGGCGGAGGATTAGCCTATTGAGCCACGGCGCCAGCGAGCCCCAACTCTTGCCACCGCAGCCCAGAACAGAGGGTATCCTGTTTCAGGGCTTACCCAACTGCAAAGTGGAATTCATGCATCTGTAGGAAGTTGAAAATTACCGGGTGCGACACACGTGGTCCGTTTTTCTGCTTTTGTCGAGTTCAGATTCTGAGCTCAGAAGTCCAGCAAGGTCGCCCTCTTCCCCAAAGTGCCTGGATCTCACTGGCTTTGCTTCCACGTGCTCCGTGCTGCCAGCCTGCCCAGGTCTCGCCCCCCGAGGTTGAGCTCTTGGCACCCATGGGACTCAGGCTCCTTCGGAGTGGGTGGGAGCGCCCCTGCCTCCCCCAGGCGGCCTTGTTGCCGTCAGGGGCTGGGCACAGGAGCTGAGGATCGCTGGAGGTCCTGGGGGCAGGGTCTATCCCCAGAGAGTGCCCAGCTAGACCCACGCTCCTGAATTTGATGCATTTGTCCCAGTGCCCAGACTCCTGACACCTCCGCGGCTCCCCACCTGGTCTGAGCCCTCGTCTGGACTCCTGTGACAGCCCCTCCCTGCTGTCTCCCTGCCGCTTTTGCTGCCACTGCCTACAGAATGAAATCAGCCCCGGGGGCGGGGTGGGGGGTCCTTCGCAAACCCAAGCTGGGTCAGTCCCCTCCCTGTGGCTTCCGTCTCCCTTACAACCAAAGCCCAGGTGCTCACGCGGCCGACAAGTCCCGCCTGTTACTTCCGACCGCTGGCCGGAAGAGTGGGTGTTCCGAGTGGCATGTCGACTCCTGCTCCAAACGCTGCCCCAGTCTCACGACTTCTTCTGCACTTGTGCAAACGTACACACCAGTTAGAGAGAAGAACAAAATGGGCCGCGGTGTCCTCGCCGGCGCCGTGGCTGTGGGAACAGAGGTCACTCCCATTTCTTTGAATTCCCAACCTGACTCCTACCCCTCGGTTATGGGGAAGCAAATCCCAAAGAACTCTGTGATTTTATAAATGTGGAGAACTCTGACCCGTCTGGAGTGACTTATTCATTTTCAATAAAGATTTATTTATTTATTTGAAAGGCAGAGCTACAGAGAGAGAGAGAGGGAGACACAGGAGAAAGAGAGACCTTCCATCCTCTGGTTCATCCCCAGATGGTCGCAATGGCAGGGGCTGGGCCAGGCTGAAGCCAGGAGCCAGGAGCTTCTTCCGGTCCCCCATGGGGATGCAGGAGCCCAAGCACTTGGGTCATCTTCCACTGCTTTCCCAGGCTGTTAGCAGGGAGGTGGATCAGAAGTGGAACAGCCAGGACTTGAACTCATGCCCATATGGGATGCTGGCACTGCAGGCTGTGGCTTAACCCGCTGTGCCACAGCGCTGGCCCCCATGTGACTTTAGAGATGGAACGGACGCTGTTACCGAGTCCATTCTCCCAACACTTGGTTGAATAAACCACCTTTGCTGCACTGATGTGAAATGGCGCTTTTATGTTCATTAAATTCCTACATACTCGAGTCTATGGCTATTCTGTTCCGCTGATTCATCTAGCTGCAGTCACGCTCCAGTACCACACTGTTCGGGTGGTTGTAGCTCTGCGGTGTATTTTGGTGTCAGGTTAGATTATTCCCGGAGAGGTGACTTAGCTATGAGCCTCCCCAGGTGTTCAAAGACACTGTTCCAGAGTGGGGACCTGTGATGAGGAGGGCGATCCCAACACCAGGCTTAGCCCAGGCATAGCCTTCAACCCTCACCTGGAATGACGCCCCCACCCCGTGCAGTCAGAGACTCTGCCCAAGTCTGGTGCCAGGTGACCTTGAGCAGTGCACCTCGTCCGTGGGAGCCCCCCCCCACTTACGACCCCAGCGTTTTCCGTTCTCCAGTTCCAAGATCCAAGGGCAAGGGCCTGGGGGTGCCAGGCCAGCTTGTGAGGGAGAGCCGGTGGTCACGGCGCAGGAAGTTCCTCAGATAGAAAGGAGAGATTGGCTCGCTGGGGAGCGGAAGGGGTGATGAGGCAAGAGACAGGGCTGTTAACAGGAGGCTCTGCCGGCAGCTGCCACGGGTGCAGGAGCTCCGGGCTGCGTGAGCCACCAACGGGAACCTTCCAGAGGTGGGAGCCGCTCAGCGTGAAAATGCTTCTGTTACTTTGGAGGGGTGGGGGCAGGGAGGGTGGGAGCCAAGGTGGCTGTCCAGCTCCTGCGACAAGGGTATGAAGGGCCGAGCCCTCTTTTCTCCGGCATGTGGGGCCCTCTGTGTGATCTTGTGGAGGGCAGTGGAGGGCAGCTGGAGAGCGCTAAGATGGCTGTGTGCCCTTGGGCAAGTCCCCTGGTTCCTTGGAGCCTCGTCTCTCCGGCAGGGAGGGAGGGAGGTGCGAGGGCGGCCCCTTGGCAGCCTCTCTGGCCCAGCACTGGGACAGTTTGGGCGCGGGGACTCTGGCTGGGACACGAGAGAAGTGGTATGTAAGCAGATTCTGAAGACGGGGGGTGGGGAGTGTTTGGGGAGGTTTAGGCACCTGCAGACTCCATGTTGGGGTTCTGTCACTGCCCTGCCCTGTCCTTACTCGCTCTCCCTTTCCCTGTGGGCTCCCTTCTGTGAGCCCACGGAGCGGGGGCCCGGCGGCAGGACTCCTCATCCTCATGCTGGCTTCAGGAGGTTTTCTTAAAGCGGGAGAGGTTGGTGCAGGGCCGCCGAAGGCAAGGGCAGAGGGAGTGAGGGGGAGCGGGGCCCCAGCGCTGACTCAGACTCTCAGAGCAACCACAGGGGGGCCCCGGCCCAGGCTGATGGCCCTAACAGGTGTCGCGCCTGGAGTGACAGGGGTGGGTGGGTGGCAGCCGGGAGGGCGCCTTGTCAGGCCCCTCTCTGTGGCCTGACTGAAGGGTGTTCCTGATGTCACCCCGACTGATGGGGACGAGCGCTCGGGGTGGGTTTCAGATGGCCTCTCTGCCCCAGGTCACAGCTGAGCGGGCGGCCAAGGCCCCACTGCTGGGTGGGGTGTGCTGGGGGTGCTGCATTGGCCCACACTGCCTGGGAGGGTCGCGCCATGGAGGGCAGCAGGGCTAGGGACCCCCAAAAGCAATGCCGAGGGCACCCCATGTCCCAGAGGCCTATGAGACATGGCCCTCCTGTCTCTTCCCCTAGTGCTTTGGTTCTGGAAGCTTCCACACTGGGCGTCTTCTCTCACTGCCTCACTCGTGCTGTCCCTCTCGAGGGGTAGGCACGTCACTGCTCCGGGGACTGGGTCTCGAGGAAAAAGACCCCACCCCATATCTACTCTGCTCCGAAGCCAGGGTAGACCCTCAAGCAGCCTCCTGCCCACTGGAGCCCGGACACCGTGCCCACTGGAGCCGGAGAGCAGAGTCACCTGCTCATGGAGGGAGGGGCTTCCTGCCCAGGGGGAGGAGGAGGGAGGTGGAGGGTGGCTTTCTGGGCAGGGACTGAGGTGGCCCCAAGAGGCATGCAGCCTTGTCACTGCCCACAGGGCAGCGGGGCTGGGGGTGGAGGTGGGGGAGAGCAGTTAGCCTAGCAGAGGGACTTCCGGATCCCACCCCTGCCATCTCATTCTTGGCTTCTTACTCTTCCTGCTTTTTAGCAAGAAAACTTGGCAATCTGCAGAAGGGCTGAGCTAACAGTGCAGTGCGTGCTGTCGTACGGGCTCTGCCATGTTGCTGCCTTTGTGCCCTCCTCCTACACACACACACATGTGCATGTGCTCACACACATGCATACACAATGCACACATGCACACACCATACACACAGATGCCTGCATGCACACGTGTGTGCACACATGCACAGAGACATACCTGCACACACGTGCACGTGTACACACGATGCACACTCACACATGTGTATACACACAATGCACACTCGCACACATACACACGCACGTATACACACACAATGCGTACACAGAGACGCCTGTGCACCCACACGTGCACACGTGCACACTTTGTGTCTGTCTATGCCTGTATCGGGGGCCAGATGAAAGCAAACTGCAGACAGAAGCGCATCCCGAGCTGCTCCAGCGCAGGCATGGGGGTTCCCCTGCATGACCCCAACACCTTGCCTTCACATAGCCCAGTGGCCCCCAAGCGTCCCTTATTCCTACCGTCTTTCTGAAAGAGAGCCCAGTTAAAGATCACGCTTGATGGCTAGGTATCTTTCCTCACGATACAGAACTGGCCCTGTCTGGTTTCCTCTTTTTTTTTTTTTTTTTAAGATTTATTTATTATTTGAAAGACAGAGTTACAGAGAGGCAGAGGCAGAAAGAGAGAGAGAGAGAATGAGAGAGAGAGAGAGAGAGAGAGAGAGAGAGGTCTTCTGTCTGCTGATTCACTACCCAATTGGCTTCAATGGCCAGAGCTGCACTGATCCGAAGCCAGGAGCCAGGAGCTTCTTCCAGGTCTCCATGTGTGTGTCGGGACCCGAGGACTTGGACCATCCTCTACTGCTTTCCCAGGCCATAGCAGAGAGCTGGATCGGAAATGGAGCAACCAGGACTCGAACCGGCGCCCGTATGGGATGCCAGCAGTGCAGGCAGCGGCTTTACCTGCTGCGCCACGGCGTGGGCCCTCTGGTTTCCTCTTTCACAACCCTGACAGTTGTCTGGCAGAACATCTCACATTCTGACGACAGTGTGAGTGAGTGGGAGGAAGCAGGGAGTAACTGAGGGCTCAGTGCTTGTCCAGAGCAAGGCTGGGCACCATGAGGGGGTCCAGGGTTAAGCAGCTAAGCTATGTCACCTCCCCCAGGAAGCCCTCTGTGACTGGCCCTGACCAGAGCATTGCTCTTTCTCCAGTGCTCTCGCAGCACTTAGCCCACAGTCTGCTGCTCCTTCTGTGCTGCACTGTGGGTATTCTTGTCCTGCATGAGGCTCTGCCTGGGTGTGCAGGGCATGTCCTGCACATGGGTGCCTGGCCAAGAGGGCAACTGGGCACTGGAATCCCGTCCACATTACACTTGTCAGCTGTGGGCCCGGCACCTGCCAGGAGGAAGAGGCACCTCACCCTAACTTCCAATGGAAACACCCGGGCCCCTGGCAGGCCTGCTTAGCCCTGGGCAGGCATTTCGTGTGCGCTCAGTAAGGTCTGTTGCCTATGCACGATCCAGGGCTTGGGAAGGCTGTGGTACAGGAGTCTCGGCAGGAGAGGTGTGCTCCAGCCTGTGGCCAAGTGCGCGGTGGGGGCGGGGGGCCCTGGCTTGTGCACCTGCCATTCCCATGGCGGGAGCATCCCTCAGTGGCTGATGCTAGGCCCCGGGTGGGGACGAGGTGTGCACAGCTGGCTGTCACGGGCGCCCCTGCGGCTCTGCAGGGATGAGCTTAAAACTGCACCTGAAACAGAGCGGGGGGGGGGCAGGACCCTCCTTCACTTTGAAGTTTGCCCCCCACCCTGGGCCCCAGCCGGGTGAGGCGCTGCTCTGCCAAGTCCTAGGCACCCTGATGAGGGAGGCTGGGCAGTGATTCCAGGCCCTAAAATGGGCCAGCGTCCCTGCTGGCTTCACTCAACCAGTCTACGGCTGTTGGCCGTGCAGAGAACGCCCAGGGAGGGGGTTTTGTTCCTCTGGCAGGCGCAGGCCTTGCCTTGCTGCCCCCAGCCTTCATGCGTGCTGGTCTTGGTCTCCAAGGCCCACCCGCCTGCCTGGAACCAGCGCCAGCGCCACCTCCCGCAGGAAGTGCCGGCCGTCCTGCCATCTCTCCGTCTGGTGTGTGTGCCCCGTGCCCTGGGGGCCTCCCCTGGATGACAGAGGCCTTTATCCACTGGCTGATGCCGCCTGTGGAACTGGACACCCTTCCCGGAGCCCCTGCTACTGTATTAAGCAGCTGGCATCAGGTGCTCCACGGCCTGCAGAGACACGTGTCAGGGAGCCGACGTCCGCGTGCGCCTCTGGGACGGAATCCGGCAGCCCCGGGGAATTTGCGCCACATAGGGATTTGCGCTGGGACGTCTGCGACTGGCGCGTTGGCGTCCGGCGGGGGCCTTCTCCCTCCGTCCTCCCCTGGTGGGGGACAGACAGGCGAGAGAGGGCAGGAGGGTCCCGTGCACACCCTTGCTCAGGGACCCGCTCCTGCAATAATGAACCCATGCCCTGTGGGAGACCCAGATGGAGCTCCGGGCTCCTGGCCTTGTCCTGGCCCAGCCCTGGCTCTTGTGGCCCTTTGGGGAGTGAACCGGCTCAGGCTGTGAGGGCGTGTGGGTAGCTCGGGGGAGAGCACTGTGGACCCAGGGGGCTCCAGCAAGGGCAGAGCCCCCCAGCGCGATGTCTGGGGGCCAGGAGGCTGGCGGGGGTGGGGGAGGGGCCCTGGGAGGATGGAGAGCCACAGGAGGGTTTTGAGCCGTGAGGTTTGGGCTGTGTTCAGTGGCCCAGCGCTGTGTTCCTTCTCCTCTGTCCCCAGGTCCAAGGCACCATGGAGAGTGGACAGAGGGTGTCGCGGAGAGGCCGCAAGCTGGGCTCCAGTCGCCGGCGGCAGATGAGAGAGCCGGCCGATGGCCAGGACGCCCCGGTGGCCCCAGAGCCCCTGTCCTGGTCCGCTCAGACACAAGAAGAGCTGCAGGATTTCTTCCAGGACTGTGGGGCCAGGGAGAGGGGCTTTGTCACCCGCCAGGACCTTGAGGTGAGCCTCAGACCCAGTCCCACCCTCTGAATGCCTTCCCTGCTGTCTCTTGACAGCCCTTGTCCCAGGAAGGCACAGCTTCCTGTCTTCCGATCCCTTTCCCGTCTCTCCCAACTAAAATCGGCTCTCAATGAAGGCTAGAGATTTGTTTATACTAACATGTACATGACTGATATGGCTTTAACATTTTAACAAAGGAAAAGACTTTAAGCCAAAGAAATCACTTTGAAAGGGTATAGTTTTAGGCCCATTGAGCAGAGAAGTTAATCTAGGGAAGCAGTCAAAACCCTAGAAATCAAACTACGTCAATGACTATAAACTTCAAAGAAATCTCAGACTGGGGTGGTCGTTTAGCCTAGCAGCTAACACAGCAGTTCAGACAGGCACAGCCCGTGCCGGGTGAACTCGGCTCGGTTCTCGGCTCCAGCTCCAGCTTCCTGCTGGTGCAGACCGCGGGAGGCAGCAGTGTTGGCTCAAGCGATCAGGCTCCTGCCACCCATGTGGGAGGCCTGGATTGAGTTCCTGACTCTCAGCTCCAGCCCCGGCCGGGCCTGGCTGTCGCAGGCATTTGGGGAGTGAATTACAGATGAGACCTCTTTCTGTAGTTGTCTCTACACTGGTCAAATAAATTGAAAAATAAACAAAATGAACACAAGATCAGCCATGGTTATGCATCCCAGCAAGGAGTCTCAGGCCATGGCCAGACCAGGGGCGAGCCACGGCTTCCTTTGGTCTGTCTTCCTTCACTGCACAGGGGCTGTGCGAGTTGGGGGGGCGGGGGCTGCTGTCTCCTCCTGGTGCTGCGCCATGCTCTTGACTTCAGCTGAGCCCATCAAAACCGGCCCCGCAGTCCCTCCAGGGCCACAGCAAGTGCGAGAGCTGATGCTGAAATACACCCTCCAGAGTGGCTAAAAAAGCGCCGTTTGGGCCCACACATAAGACGTGACGCAGCTCTGGTCTGATACGTGCTGGTTGTGCATACGCGAGGGAGCCGGGGGCGGGGGGGACGCTGGCTCGCTGGAAGAGCACGGTGCTCCTGGGCGATCCGAGGGGAGGGCGCTGGGCCGAGGTGGCTGCGTGCAGTTTTGAGACTGGCTGATGTCCAGCAGGCCATAAATCTCTGGGGTTATATGCTCTGCCAGACAAATATTCTTTTCATTGCTCCTGGACAAAAAAAAGTACGAGTTAATGAGTAACTGCAGTGCGTCTGGGGCTTTTTAATTAAAGGTAAACAATGAAAAGAACCAAGTCCATTCCCCGGTCTAGACAACGCCGGCTCGTCTTTGCCTCCCTGTGCCGGTGCCGGGGTCTGCCATCCACCTTTCTGCCTTTATCCCAAGTGTCAGATGCTTTTCTCTGTGATTCGAAAGAATCCCCAGAGCTTTTCCGTGAGATATGAAAGGCTGCTCTTACCAGGTTTTGGCCTGGTCGCTCGCACAGGTGCAGCCAGGGTCTACAGCTGACACAGGGGCCTCGGTGAGTTTGCTCGGCAAGCTGAACCCTGCAGTCTCCAACCATTCCGTCTCTGCCCAGAGGTTTTCATTTGCAATCTTAGGTTGCATTTTTTTGAAATATTTATTTATTTATTTGAAAGGCAGAGTTACAAAGAGAGAGAGAGAAGGATAGAGGGGTGTTTCATCTGCTGGCTCGCTTCCCTAATGGCCACAACAGCTGGGGCTGGGCCAGGCTGAAGCCAGGAGCCTGGAGCTTCTTCCAGGTCTCCCACATGTGTGCAGGTGCCCAAGCACTTGGGCCATCCTCTCTGCCTTCCCAGGCCACAGCAGAGAGCTGGATTAGGAGTGGAGCAGCCGGGACTTGAACCGGTGCCCATGTGGGATGCTGGTGCTGCAGGCAGTGTTACACCATAGTGCCAGCCCCTTAGATTGGATCTTTTAAAGAAATGTTTATTTATTTGAAAAGCATGGTGACAGAGAGAGGGAGAGACGGAGATCTCCCATCCACTGGTTCACTCCCCAAATGGCTACAACAGCCTGGGCAGGGCCAGGCCGAAGCCAAGGGCCCAGAATTCCACTCGGGTCTCCCATGTGGGTGGCAGGGGACCAAGGACTTGAGTCATCCTCTGCTGCTTCCCAGGCGCATTAGCTGGGAGCTGGATCAGAAGCCAAGTAGCGGGGACTCCAACAGGCATGCTGGCTTAACCCTCTGCGCCACCACGCAGGCCCCAGGCTGGATTTGCAAAACCTCTGTAATTTTGCCCTTCCAACAAGTGACAAACTGTCCCGGTTTCCAAAGGACTGGGAGACTAACACCAGGCAAACTGGGACGAGCTGCTCACTCTACTTCCACACTAAGGCCAGGAAACCAAGCCCCAGACAGGGCCTCCAACAGGTGTCCGCTGCAGCATCCCGGTTTCTCCAAGGCCCCTCTTCTTGGAGCGGGCTCATCAGGCGTGATTCAGTGAGGCTCGTCCTACGGAACACCGGTCCGGGCGGGGCCTCGGTGGCACGATCGATCAATGGCGTCTCATCCGGGTAAAGCAGGAAGGTCCGCTGAACTTGCTGGGGTAACTCCACTGCGCGGGCAGAGAGGAGATCCCATCGCAGCCGTGGGCTCTGAGTCACAAGGCGGGGTCGGTGCGGCGCCGATACCGTTGTAAAAGCTTCATTTCAGTTTCTGAACGTGTGATCTACCACGCTGACATAGGAAGCGCCTCTGCCGAGGTCTGTTCAGGGCAGTAGGAAATGCTGTCAGCCGCATGGCAGCAAGTAACCACAGCCGTGGCTCAGGCCTGGTGCCAGCTCCTGTCCTGCCGGGTCCTGGCTGAGCTGTCTGAGTGCGGGCTCAGGGGTGCTGGACGTTCTGTCCCCCCCAGCTCGGCCAGCGGCCTGCACCCTGGCAGGTGCAGTTGGTGGGAGCTGGGGCACAGTGCCTTTTCTGTACGCTTTAAGCTTCCCTTGCTTTGTTGAAGATGCCAGCTGTGACCTGCACTTGTCACAGAGCCCCTGGCAATGGGAGGAAAGCAGAAATTGGTGTGGTGACAAGACAGAATGGTTGCACATGTTTGTGACAGTAACCATCAGATACCATCAGAACAGGGCCTGGGAGAGCTCTCCATTTCCTTAAGGGCTCGACCAGTGGCTCCCCCTGCAGGCAGGAACGTGTTGCACATAGCAAGGGCATTGAGAAAGCAAGTCCCTGAGTGTTGATGCAACGGGGGCAGGCATGTGGCGCAGTGGGTTGAGCCACCCCTTGTGACACCAGCATCCCATGTCGCAGCACCAGTTCAAGCCCCGGCTGCTCGGCTTCCCATACAGCTCCCTGCCAATGCACCCGGGAAGGCAGCAGAGGATGGCCCAAGTGCTTGGACCCCTGCCGCCCGTGTGCGAGACCCAGTGTGTGAGACCCAGAAGGAATTCCAGGCTCCTGGCTTCGGCCTGCTCCAGACCTATTGTGGCCATTTGGAGAATGAACCCACAGGTGGATTTCTTTCTCTGTATCTCTCCTTCTTTCTGTAGTCTTCTGCCTTTGATACAAGTGATTTTTTTCGAAGAAACATTTACAATGGCAGCATCCTGCTTAAGTGAACTTAGCCTGGGAAAGGCTGAAATCTCTTCTGGTTTGCTCACTCTTCTCCCGTAACTGAGGGATTTAATAAAGACAAAGGTGTTTTTTATTTTTTTTTTCTACATTTGATCAGATATAATGTGATGGCAAAATCAAAAAAGCTGCCAGAGAAGATCTGTGCTCTAGATTAGGCTGGGACCGTGGGAGCCCAAGCAACAGTACTTGGTTATCTAGTTCATCAAAATGACAACAAAACACAGTGTTTTGAAACAAACACAGGCGGTAACAGGATTGCAAGACCATCTAGTTCCTACCTAGGGAGCCATCTTTGCTTTTTGTTTTTTTAAAAATTAGGGCGTGGGCCAGCACTGTGGCCTAGTGGACTAAGCCTCTGCCTGCAGCACCAGAATCCCATATGGGCACTTGTTCATGTCGCAACTGCTCTTCTTCCGATCCAGCTCTCTGCTGTGGCCTGGGAAAGCAGCAGAAGACGGCCCAAGTGCCTGGGCCCCTGCACCCACATGGGAGACCGGGAAGAAGCTCCTGGCTCCTGGCTTCGGATCGGCGCAGCTCCGGGCATTGTGGCCATTTGGGGAGTAAGCCAAGAGATGGAAGAACTTTGTCTCTCCTTCTGTCTGTCCGCAGCTCTACTTCTCAAATAAATAAATTAAAGTCTTTTTAAAAAGAAAAGATAATGAGGGCATGATAAGATCGCCACACAGCAGAGAAGATGGCGCTGCCGCGTGCACTGCTGACACAGCATGGATAGTAGCTTCTCGCCAGCCCTGGCAGACTGCTCAGAGCGCTTTATCACGTTCACGTAGATGAGGCCAAGTGCTTGTATTTAATAGACTGATTGATTGATTTGAAAGAGAGAGTTCCAGCGAGAGAGGGGGAGAGAGAGAGAGGGAGAGAGAGAGAGGAGAGAGAATCTTTCATTTGCTGGTTCACTCTGCAGATGTCTGCAACAGCTAGGGCTGGGCCAGGCGGCAGCCAGGAGTCTGGCGCTCCATCTGGGTCTCCCACGTGGATGGCAGGGGCCCAAACACTTAGGTCATCTTCTGCTGTTTTCCCAGGCACATTAGCAGGGAGCTGGATCAGAAATGGAGCTTCTGGGACCCAAACCATCGCTCATATGTGATGCCCGCATCACAGGCAGCAGCTTCATATGCTATGCCACAACGCCAGCCCCTTTGTGGCTGCTTTATTTCACTTAGCAGAATGTCCTCAAGGTTCAGGCACCTTGCAATATGTGTCAAAATTTCCTCCCTTTTCCAGGCCAAGTAATATTCCATTCTCTGCATAATGCCTGTTTCTTGCTCCCTGTATCCATGGGTGGACATCGGTTGCTTCCCTCTTCTGGCCACTGTTGATAGTGCTGCCATGAAGAGGGTTAATGAAATATTTACTTGTATACTTTTTTAAAAAAAATTATTTACTTATTTAAGAGGTGGAGTTACAGAGAGGAAGAGGCAGGGTGGGAGGGGTGAGGTCCTCCATCTCCTGCTTACTTCTCAAATGGCCACAATGGCCAGAGCTGGGCCAGGCTGGAGTCAGGAGCTTATTCCAGGTCTCCCATTTGGGTGCAGGGGCCCAAGGACGTGAGCCGTCTTTCCCAGACCAAAGCAGAGAGCTGGATCGGCAGTGGAGCAGCCAGGACTCAAACCGGCGCCCATATGGGATGCCAGCACTGCAGGCAGCAGCTTACCCACTCCGCCACAGCGCCGGCCCCATACAGTTACATTTTTGTAAACCTAAACATGTAATAAGGAAAAGGTTGACCTGTTGGATCAGGAAGCGAAAAGGAGACATGTAGAAATTCATTATTATCTGGTTTTCTCTCAAAAAAATCAATCCACATCTTATTTTTAAAAAAAAAACCAGAATGTAAATTTGTGGTATGCAGAGGAAACACAGCTAATATTTGTGTTTTATAATCCAAATATTAAACCAGAATAATTTGTCCAAAGATTCATCCAACTTACGAGAATCTGGGTTCGTTAAGGATTTTCTGCACAGCAATTTCTTCGGCGAGGGTTTATTTCAGGGTCCGGAACCTTGAAAGCGCTGGAATTTCATTCTCTTTGCTTCCCGTTACTTGAAGAACGTTGGTTTAGGGGAACACTTACTGCTCCCTGGAAGCCAGTCGGTGGAGGGCTCCTGGAAGAGACCAGGTCTGCTAAGCTACTGATGTCTCCCGGGAGCAGGTGACTGTGGCAGGGAACACCGGAAAGTTCACGGACAATGGAATTAAGGATGTGTACCTCGGTGCACACTTTGAAATCCACGCGTAGTTTTTCCATAACACACTTCCACCAACTCTTTGAAGACCTAACGATGCATAGATGTCAACATTTTTGGCATCAAAGTAAAGTTATGTTTTAATTCTGTGTTCCATGAACTTTGTATATTTGAGAGGAAGAGAGAGAGAGAGAGAGAGAGAGCGAGTTGCCACGTGCTGGTTCAAGCCCCATTGCTCTTGTTGGCTGAAGCTGAGACGTAGAGTCAACACAGAGTCTGGGTTTCCCAAGTGGGTGGCGGGAACCCGGGGACTTGAGTCATCGTGCCTGCCCCCGGTGTCTGCATCAGCAGGAAGCTGGGAGGCAGAGTGCGCATGACGCCAGGCATTCCTGTACAGAATGTGGTTTCCTTAACCCTAGGCTGAGCAGGCACGCGAACTTTTCAGAAGTCTGCCTGTATCACACCCACGGCAGGGGCCGAAGGCTTGCCTGCATCACAGACTTGGAGACACGCACACGGAGGGTCTGGCTTAACTTCTGCAAGTCCAGCCACAAGTCCGCAGTAAACCAAGGGGGCGGGGAAAGCTGCTGTTGCAGTGCCGGCATCCCATACGGGCGCCGGTTCAAGTCCCGGCAGCTCCTCTTCCAGTCCAGCTCTCTGCTGTGGCCTGGGAAAGCAGTGGAGGATGGCCCAAGTCCTGGACCCCTGCAGCCACATGGGAGACCCAGATGCAGTTCCTGGCTCCTGGTTTTGGCCTGGCCTGGCCCTGGCTGTTGCTGCCATCTGGGGAGTGAACCAGCAGATGGAAGATCTGCCGGAAGACCTCCTTTGAAGACCTTTCAAAGGAAAGGAAGACATAATTTTTAAAATGATTCTTAAAAGTTGGTTAGTAGGGCCGGCGCCGCGGCTCACTAGGCTAATCCTCCGCCTAGCGGCGCCGGCACACCGGGTTCTAGTCCCGGTCAGGGCGCCGGATTCTGTCCTGGTTGCCCCTCTTCCAGGCCAGCCCTCTGCTGTGGCCAGGGAGTGCAGTGGAGGATGGCCCAGGTGCTTGGGCCCTGCACCCCATGGGAGACCAGGAAAAGCACCTGGCTCCTGGCTCCTGCCATCGGATCAGCGCGGTGCGCCGGCTGCAGCGGCGGCCATTGGAGGGTGAACCAACGGCAAAGGAAGACCTTTCTCTCTGTCTCTCTCTCTCACTGTCCACTCTGCCTGTCAAAAAAAAAAAAAAAAAAAAAAGTTGGTTAGTGTCCAACAGGCCACAGATCCTTGGAGTCCTCTATTCTACTAGAAAACAACGCTTTGCTTCTCTCCCGGAGACGGTCTACAGTGAGTAAGGGTCTAGTCTGGACCCTCACTCTGTCAGGGGGATGTGCCCACTCCTGCAGCTGACAAGATGCTTGGTGGCCGCGGCCCCCTGTGCTGCTGGGAGGACGTGAGGTCGGGTGGTTTCTGGACCCTGGTGAGCACGTTCTGGTCAAGGTTCTTTGTCAAGGTCCTCAAAGGGCGGGACTTAGGACGGATGCGTTTTGATGTTGGATGGAGAAAAGGACAAGGCCTGGAGCCAGCTCAGGGCTGCGCTGAGCCAAGAGCTGCCAAGGATGGGGCCTCCCACGAGGCCCAGGGCCGGTCAGTGGGGGAGCGGGAGGGCGGGGTGGCCCACAGCCTTGACCTGTGGGAACAGCTGCCCGCTCACTCCTTCCTTCCAGGCAGCCAAGTTCAGCTTCCTGGGCAGCGAGGACGAGCTGGAGATGATCTTCGACTGGGTGGACGTGGAGCGGAAGGGACGCCTCTCCCTTGAGGAATTCAGCTCTGGACTCAGTATGTCCCTCCTAGGCGGGCCTCGGGGGCGCCCTGCATAGCCAGTGTGCCCAGCACGGGGCTAGGCTGGGCTGGCTGGACAGGCACCCGTTTTCCCAGCCAGGGCAGCTCGGAGCAGAGTGCTCTCCTGAGCCTCCCCTTCCTCCAGAGAGGCCTCCAGGCTTGCTCTCCGATTCCCTCCCCCGGGAAACTTCCCATTCTTGAGATCTCGGTGGGGGCCTTGGTTTCTACCAGAGACGGCTCATGCTTGGGCTTTGGGGGAGGGAATTTTAGGGCCCAGGGAGCAACAGAGGGTGGGGGTGTCCCAAGTGCTGAGCCCCTGCTGGGAAGGGCTGCCCCTGCACCTGTCAGCTGCTGTTCTCTGTGGTGGGGGACCCTCTGGCCCAGGTAACGGAGGAGGGGGCGGGTTCCTTTCGGGGGACCCACAAAGCCATGCAGAGTCTCCACAAGGTTGCAGAGAGCAGAGAGGGAGGTGTGGAGTCTGCATCTGCAGGCTGGGGCCACCCCAGGCGTTGGTTGCTCCAGGTCGGGGGGCAGCAGTCAGGGCCCGGGATTGGTGGGAGGTGCAGTGGGAGCAGGGGCTGATCTGTAGATGGGGAGCAGACGCCCAAGGTTGATGTGAGGAATGTGGCCCACCCCGCTCTGCCCCTCTGTCCGCCTCCATCCCACAGAAAACATCTTTGGCTCCAGCCTGTGCACCCACAGGCTCAGGAGGCGGCGGCCACGGCCCACTAAGAGGTTACCCACAGCCACCAGCTTCCTGGAGCTGGAGGAGGCCGACGCCGAGGAGAGAGAGGCCTTCCTCACCTTCACGGAGCAGCTGGGGACTGGCCCCTTCCTTCCCGAGTGAGTCCTGTGCGGCGTGGGTGCAGGGGAGGCACTGTCGCAGGCACAGGGACCCCCGGTCAGGCTGCAAGGTAGGGCCCGAGTGTAAACCCCAGCATGGCCACTGGGCAGCTGTGTGACCCCCCCCACAGGTGTTCTGACCTCTGACCTCTGTCCCCCTCTGCAGAAAGAGCATGGAAACCATTGTGGGGGTGGAGCGAGCGCTCAGGACGTCTGCCCGCGGGGGGGTCCTTCCTACCCGCACACTCCCGCCTCGTCCTGCCCCGTGCGATCATTCCCCACAGGGAGGAGCAAGTTGGGGTGTCAGCCGCCCAAGGGTGCTCACGTTCTCGGAACCATGCAGCTCCCCTGGATGCCTTTCTCAACTCAAACAAGGGGCCCCCCAGGGGGTTTCAGGCAGGTGCAGGGACCAGAGGCCATGGCCTCCCCTCTGTCTCAGCTGTGGGCATAGGGGGTTCGCTCATGCCCAGAGGAGGGCAGCCCTGTCTGCCGTTGGCCCCTCCACATCGCTGGAGCCCCCAAGGGAGCTGCCCTTGGATGTCAGCCCACCCACCTACCTGGTGAGGACAAGGTCTCTCCAGTTTAGCTCCAAGAGGTGGGGCCAGGAGTTGTCGGGCAGGCAGGGTGAGACTCGGGGTGCAGGCTGGAGAGGCAGGGATGAAGCTGTGTGGGGGCCATGCATGCCCCGGGCAGCTCGTCCCAGGCTTAGCCCCTGGCATCTACCTTTGTGACTCGATTAGCCGAGTTTGCCAAGGGCCAGCCATGCACCAGGCCCGGAGCCAGGCTTCCTACGGGCTCGCCGCTCCCATCCCAGCTGCCACCCTGGATGGCTATTGGCCTCCCCAGTTTACAAATGAGCCCAGAGAGGCCATGGGTCTTGCAAGAGGTCACACAGCTGCCGCGTTGGGGAACCCGGAAAGCAAATGGAATCCTGCAACCGGTGGCTCCCAGGTCTCTCCCCACCCCCACTGCTGAGCGCACGGCCATCGGGAGGTCAAGTGTCCTGGGCTTCAGGAGGGGAGCAGGTGCACCTGGGAGAGGCTCTCTGGGAGAAGATGGTGTTCGAGCTGCACCTGCGGCTGTGAAAGTTTTGTGGCCCCCGCCCCCCAGGACCTAATCCTTGCCTGTGTGTCCCTCCCCAGGCAGGCAGAGATCTGGCAACTGTGGAAGAAGCTGCGGCAGGAGGAGCCCCAGCTGGCAGGCAACCTGGAGGGCTTCCTGGCCAGGATGAGCAGCCGCCTGCAGGAGGTGCAGGCCAGCAAGGAGGCGCTGGAGCTGACCCTGAGGAAGTGAGCTGGGGGGAGGGGGGACCCCGGCAGGGCAGCAGTAGGCGCTCTTTATAGGAACTGAATCCCTGGCACCTCCTGGGGCACAGCCTGGGGGGCTGCGGGGGCAGAGCAGAGCCGCAGGGAGAGGGGGGCTCCGGGACCTGTTGAGAGGACCGAGTTGGTCCTTTCGAAAGCATGACAATGGCAAGTATGCAGTGCGCCGAGCTCAGGGGCACAGCTCACGGAGTTCACAGCCTGTGTGGTGGCCCTGGGCTGCGAAGGACACAACCCGTAAGGGTAGGCGCCCTGGGGACTATGTGACAGCACCGAGGAATCACCAGGAGTCAGTGTGGTGTTGTCAGGGTGACAGGGGTCAGGGACGGCCCGAAGCGCCAGGCGAGCCACGGGACGGGCTCCAAGTCTAGGCCAGGTCAGTGCTGCCAGCGGCAGGGGCCCGCAGGTGCTGAAGGGCTCCCTGGTGCCTGCCCTCCGCCCCTCCCAGGCGTGACTCTGACCACCACCGCGAGGTGCAGCGGCTTTATGAGGAGATGGAGCAGCAGATCGTCCGAGAGAGGCAGCAGCTGCAGGCTGAGGTGGGCTCCTTGTCTGCAGCCGGCTTACCCCAGCCTGGCTCCTCTGCTACCTTCACAGCGCGAGGCAGAAGGTCGCGGTGGGGGGAAGGCGTCCTCTCCCTGCTCTGAGCAGCTCGGGTTCCCCTGAGAGCCGGGGTGGAAGTGCCGGGTCTCGCCCCCTGGTGCTCCTTGCCGGTTCTCGCTGTCCCCGGAGCTGGTCCTCTCGCTCCCTGGACCCCCATCTCTCTGTGGCCACAACCTAGGCGGCGACCAGAGGAGTAGTCCTGGTGCCTGCGCCCCAGTCCTGGGTGGCGGTGGCGGGTGGGGAGGGCAGTGCAGCCGGGAACTCTGAGCCTGTCTGCTCCACAGAGCGACTCCCGGGGCCTGGCCCTCAGCTCCCAGGTGCACGACGTCCTGGCGGCCAAGGAGCTCAAGGCGCAGCAGCTGGCCGCTGGCCACAGGGAGGTGAGTGCCAGACTGGCCGAGGGTCCTCAGGGCAGGTTGGCTCCCATTAGAACAGCCCCCCCCCAGGGTGGGGGAAGGAGGTGCCACGGGCCCTTGGGGCTGGGTAATGCAGCTAGGAACGCTGGCCGCTGGCCGCAGGGCAGAAGCTCCGGGTGCCGCCCCTCGCTGTCCTGCTAAGAGCCATGCAAAAAAGCTTGGCTTAGCCGCCCCCCCCCCCCAGCTGGAGGCCCATCTCCAGCGCCTCAGCAGCACCCAGCAGGAGGCCAGCGCCGAGAACCTGCAGCTTCGGGAGGCCCAGCGGGACCTGGCCGGGCAGCTGGAGGAGGTGCGGGGGCAGCTGCGGGCGACCAGGGGGCGCCTCGCCTCCGCCAGGGCCCGAGTGTCCTGGCAGACAGAAGAAGAACCAAGGCAAGTGCTGTTACCCCCGGGCCTGCAGGAGGGAGCGGGGAGAGAGGCTCTGAGCTGTGGCTCTGGTCAGCATGCTGGCCCGAGGTGGTTGGCCTCCAGCCTCTGCACACCTCCCAGCACCCTGGCCGAGGGGCGTCGAGTGGGCACCGTTTTCAGATGAGCTCACTGAGGCTCAGAAGAGGGGAGGGCCAGTGCGCAGGCTCGTACTGCTAAGACGTGGGCGGACACACTCACACACTCACACTCACGCAGCCCTCCGTCAGGGGGCAGCACTGGGGAGTACGCATCGGGTGGTGCCGAGATGTCCTGGGCGGGCAGGCGCGGCTGACACCTTCATGTCCCCGCTTCCTTTCCAGTGTCCCCAGCACGAGGGAAAAGGTCCCGGACCCCCCAGCCACCGCCCCCGAGGAGGCCCCCCTGCCTGAGCTGTTTGGGGACAATGATGACTGGGACCAGCTCCTGAGCGGCTTCCGCAGCCCTCCACGCGGGGCTCTGCAGCTCACCTGGAGCCCGCCCCCCACCCCAAGAGCCGCCTCAGGCCCCCAGACGCCCCGTGTGGTCAGGCAGATCTCTATCTCAGAGCCACAAGCCCTGCCATCGGCGCAGGAGCCAGCTGCACATTCAGATGGGGCTCCAAGCCTCCTCCCTGGGGTGATCGCCTTGGCCAAGGGCAGGGAAGGGGTAGAGCGCAGTGGGCGGGACATTGGTCCAGAGCCACCAGTCCAGGCTCAGAGCCTGGAGCCCACCCTCAAGCCAGGGCCCCCAGCAGAGGCCCATTTCCTCTATGACCCCCCAGGAGCCCCAGGTGAGGAGTCACAGAGCCTGGGGGCAGCGGCACTGCGCATGCTCATGCCCCTGGAGGGTGAGCCCCCTCCCCAAGAGAGCGCTCCCCCTCCCCAGGCCCTGGCTGGGCCCAACAAACAGTCCCAGGTCCCAGGCCCCAGACCCCAGGGCCCCGGGCTCAGATCTGCTGCTGCCGAACTGCCCAGGCTGGGGGCGGCCCGCTCTCGGGACCTGCCCGACACAGGCTCCGAGTCCAGCGCAGGGTCCCTGGGGGCCCTGGCCCTGCCGCTGGGGTCAGCCGAGCCCTCCCAGGGTCTGGAGCCTGTGAGTCTGGCTCCTGCAGAAGGCTTGGAGCAGGGCCAGCTAAACCCAGCCGGACAGGAGGGGCCTCCTGGGGGACCACAAGACGCTCGTGGCCAGGGCCCCGGGCCCAATGGATGGCCGGCCCTCCCCCACCAGGGTCTGGAAGAGGAACCCAGAGAGGAGGAGGAGGAGATAAAAGAAGTGGGGGGTGGCAGCCGGTCCCCCGGCTCAGTGCAGGCACTGGAGGCTCCTGGCCTGCCGCCAGGGCCTGGGGAGCAGACCCAGGAAAGAGCCCTGCCTGCCCCTCTCCCGTTGCATGCAGCACCGGCTCGAGCAGGAACAGAAGCCCCTGGTCCCGGCAAACCGCCCCCTGCCAGTGGTCCCCCTCCCACGGCTCTGCCCGGGGCCACAGGAGGGCCTCAGGGGCCCACACAGACCTTCCCCTCCGTGCCTGAGCCAGGAGCCCAACCCAGGCCCCCAGCCACAAATGCGCACCAAGAAGGACGGCCAGGCTTCCCTGGATCCCAGGAGGCCAGGGCAGAGGGCCGGCCTGGAGACCCAGGAATGGACTCCGGGGAGGCTGGGCGGCCCCTGACCCGGGGGGACCACAGGCCTGGCGAGCCCCCGGTCTGCCCTGACTATGTCTTCCACGTCATCTTCCTGGGAGACTCCGGCGTGGGCAAAACATCCTTCCTGCACCTGCTGCACCACAACAGCTTTGCCAGTGGCCCGACTGCCACTGTGGGTAAGGGCCGGGAGTGGGTGGAGTGGGGGTGGGGGAGGGGAGGGGCAGAGGAGCAGAGGTGGAGGAGGGGAGGCCCAGGGGCCGAGCCTGACACGCGGCAGCAGGCCCGGAGCAAGCAAGGTGCAGGTGCGCCCGGGCCACAGCCAGCGTTTCATACGAGCATCATCTCACTCTTCCTAATTGTCTCTAATTACAGGCGATTTGCTTTTTCTGCATTGATCAGATTAGCTTCTTAATGGGCCACAGCCACAAGGCGCCCTGCAGTTTGGTGCCAGTGCTAGCTGGTGGTGAGGGCAAGCAGGTCTCCACCCATGTGGGTGTGAGCAGGCCACGGCAGGGCCAGGTCGGGTCGCTCAGGCAGGAAGCCACCTGGGGCGAGTCACACATCTTACCCAGAACGCCTCTGTAGGGGGTGGTAAATTGGGAACCCAGGTGTTGGGTCCAAATCCCAGCTCTGCTGCTGAGTAGGGGTGTGAGCTTGGGCAACTTGTTTGACCCCCCCGCCCCGAGTCCCCAAATCTTCACTGCTCAGTGAGGACAACAGTAGAGCCCACCTCCAAGATTGGGCTAAGGATTCGTGTCTTGTGTCTCCAGATAGTGGACTCCCCCATTTTTATGTAGTAGGAAGCTTCTGGAAAATTCAAAAGACAAACACACAGGTTGCACTAGTATCAAAAGCCAGGGCAGGCATGCCATACACTGCCGGCCAGCTGGGAGCACCTGAGACCCAGGTGCACGCCCAGATCTGTCAAATCCCAGCCGCGGTTTGCTGCCATCTCTCCTGGCTTAAAAATCATGAGGACGAGCCTGGCTTCCCCACGGGTGTCAGCTACGGGGCCCGACTTGCTGTGATGGCCCGGGCAGCTGTCCCCACAGCCAGAGCTCCTCTGCCCCCGCTGGAGTGGCCGGCCCACCTGCGGTCCAGTGGGAGGGCAAGATACACACAAAGAGGATTATAGAAACGAAGTCGTGAAACCTGTTTGCTGGGTGGCCTGGAGCTAAACAGTGTGAGGCAGTCATGTTGGCACGACTGGCTCCATGTGGCTGGGTGGTCTGGGAAGGCTTCTTGGAGGAGGTGGGCTCTTGAGTCAGGCTGGGATTTAGACAGCAGAGAGGACCCAGCCACCAGAAGCTCCTCCTCCCCTGTCTCAGCTGGGGGCTGGGGACGGGTGGCCTTATCCTGCCCTGCTGTGTGTCCTAGGAGTGGATTTTCGGGTCAAAACCCTGCTGGTGGACAACAAGTGGTTTGCACTGCAGCTCTGGGACACGGCTGGCCAGGAGAGGTAGGGGCATTTCTGCATCGCGTGTGTCAGGGGACTGGGCTACTGGGGTGGCCGGGCCCGGGCAGCTCGGGCAGCATGGGCAGGGGGCAGCCAGACGGGCAGGGGGCAGCCGGGCAGGCATGAGGGTTGCACATGGTCAGGAAGCACAGAAGGTTGGTCCTGGGGGACAACGGGGCAGACCCAGAGGCCCCCTCCATCTGCAGGGCACGTGTGAGGGCCAAGTCAAAGTGGCCGGTCCTCAGGGCACAGCCGCCCAGTGGTCATGGCCTCCCCCTGCCCTCCTAGGCAGTAGAGGTCAAGACCCCCTTCTAGAAGCTCTGTCCATGGCTGAGCTCACACAGGACCAGGTCACTGAGGGGACCATGGCTGTTTCTGCTAGGGGACAACCCAAGCGCCCAGCAGCCACAGTTAAATACGTTAGAGTGGTGTGGTGCGACAATGAAGGCACAAGAGATGGTGGCGTCCCCGGGACACCCTGCCGACAGGAAGAAGCGGGCAGAACCCTGGTCATTAAGGAACCCAACGCGTGATACACGCCATGTGTGCGAAACGGGGGAAGGCTCTGTGTGTGTGTGCGCAAGTGTGTGCATGTGTGTGTGTGTGTGTGTGCGTGCGTGTGTGTGTGTGAGGGAGAGGGAGAGAGAATCTTGAAAAAGTTCAGGGAAGGGCCGCCGTTGTGGTGCCGCGAGTTACGCTGTGGCTTGTAGCGCTGGTATCCCATATCAGAACTCTGGTTCAAGTCCCAGCTGCTCCCCATCTGAGCCAGCTCCCTGCTAATGCACCTGGGAAAGCAGTGGAAGATGGCCTGAGTGCTTGGGCCCCTGTACCCACGTGGGAGACCCGGATGGAGTTTTTGGCTCCCAGCTTTGGCCTCGTCCAGCCCTGTCCATTGCGGCCATTTGCGGAGTGAACCAGAGGATGGAAAATTTCTCTCCCTCTCTTTCTCCCTCTCTCTGCCTCTCCCACTGTCTCTGTTGCTCTGCCTTTCAAATAGTCAAATCAATATATCTTTTTAAGAAGATCCAGGGAAAATGTTTATTACAAAAAAACTACTCATGGATTCCAAAGATTTTTTACAACAAAAATAGAGACCATTTAATTGCATTGTCCATGAACTTGTTGAAGTCCCCTTGTACATAGGATATCTGGGTATATGTAACATACATCTGGAAACTTGTTTAGAACCTGGGGGCCGGGGGCTTTCCCTGGGTGCCTCTGGCGCCCTCTTCAGTCTGAGCCGGGAACTGCGACCTTGGTGACCAAAGCCAGGCGGAAGGAACCAGGCACCCATCCTCTCAGGAAAGCGATCCCACTTCGCAGAGGGGGCGGCTGAGGCCTGGAGGGGCCGGCACCCCTGACACGGACGCTCTGGGCAGGTACCACAGCCTGACGCGGCAGCTGCTGCGCAAGGCCGATGGAGTCGTCCTCATGTACGACGTCACCTGCCAGAGCAGCTTTGCCCGCGTGCGCTACTGGCTGCACTGTCTCCAGGTAAGCAGCTGTGGCCCCCTTTTGGCGTCAAGGGAAGTTTGCGTCCTGCCCTCTCCTCCTTTTCTCCCAGGCTTACCAATGCCACAAGAGATCCCGGTGACACCGAGGAGCCACCGGGGGCCGGTGTGGCTGGATGCGCTGAGAACTCAGTAGTGGAAAGAAACCACAACCACCTCATACGGTCTCCAAACCAAACTACTTCCTCCAGCCCGTGGCTGTTTCTTTCCGACATGCAGCAGCTCTGTTTGTGACACGGGAGGTTACTGCGGTGGCAATGCTGTTCTAGGGGGTGATCCCTCTGTAGGCAGTCCCATGCTGTCCCCCACCCCCACGACTCCATGCGTGGATAGTGAGGTTTTACAGGGAGTCCTAGCACAGCAAGGGGTGGGACATAAGCTTTGTTATCTTTTCTCCAGAACTTTCTTGCCTAGCAGGAGGGAGGCAAAAGCGCAGCATAAGGGGTGGGGGTAGTGACGCAGCAGGTTATGCTGCTCCGTGCGACGCCAGCATGCTGTATCAGGGCAGCCACTCTGCTTCTGCTTGCAGCTCCCTACTGATGCGCCTGGGAAAGCAACAGAAGGTGGTTTGCGTGCTTGGGCCCTTGCACCCACATGGGAGACTTGAATGGTGTTTCAGGCTCCTGGCTACAGCCTGGCTCAGTCCCGGGTGTTGTGGCCATTTGGGGAGAGACCCAGCAGATAGAAGATCTCTCTCTCTCTGTGTCAGTCGCTGAAATAAATAAATGCAACTTTAAGAAGCAGCAGCAGGCTAAGATGACGTAGGAGGAGAGGTGCTGCGCTCTGGGGTCTGCCAGGACCTAGGTGTGGAGCCCAGCTCTGTGCCTCTGGACAAGGGACCCCAGTGTCCCGACTTCTCTCCTGGGGAAGTCATGAGGATGGAGTGAGGATACTTTCTGCACACACAGCTTGCAGTAGTCAGCGCTCAAGTCCTCAGACACTGCTGTTGCCACTCGTGAGCCATGTAGGACAGGTGCAAGGCAGGCTGTGGAATCAGGTGGAGGACGGTTTAGCAAAGGGCAGAAGAGAGGGGCATAAGCAGGAGCCATCCAGGAGGGCTCCCGGGAGGAGGTGCCCTTGAGATTGGCCTTGGAAAGTAGGTGAGACCTTTGTCAGCAGAGAGGAGGGCAGGCTCACTGCCGATGGGGAGTGAGGAGTATCTGAGAAGGGTGTGGCGCGGGTGTGGCATGGGGGTGGCGCCCTCAGTGGGACCTGCACTGCCCCCCCTCCCCCCCCCCCCGCAGGTCTGCAGTGGGTGTGGCTAACAGAACCTGTTCTGTGCACAGGACGCCGGGGCGGACGAGGTGGCTATCCTCCTCCTGGGAAACAAGACGGACTGCGAGGAGGTGCGGCAGGTGCCTACTGAAGCTGGGCGGCACCTGGCCCAGGTGAGCATGTGGGGCCTCCCAGTTGGCACGGGGGCCCCTCTGTGATGGGCAGGGGCCAGGGGCCGGCCTGGCCTGCGCGAGCAGGAAGGGGGTGCATTGTCCATGCTTGACCACAGCCTGGCCGCGTCTGCCTCCCAGCTCCCCCAGGCCGCCGGCACCTACCTGCCTTTAGACCCAGACCTGTGGCTGGAGCGGTGGACATGACACCGAACCCTACTGCTGAGTCAGCAAAGGCCCCACCTACACAGAGCAAAATCTTCACTCCCAACTCCCCGTCCCCCTGGTCTCTAATTAACGCTCTCCCTTCTAATTTATTCTGTGTCCAGACTCACAGCCTTCCTGGGGAAGAGCACATCAAAAGCCAGGGGCTCCCGGTTGTTTACAGCTGGGACTTAAGCACATGCCACAAAGTCTGGCGAGCAGCAAAGAAGGAAAGAGAGAGAGATGGCTCCTCGCAGGGCGGGCGCCGCGGGCTCCACCCCCGCCTGTCATCGCAGGGGCTCCTGCTTGGTGGGAAGTCTTCCCTCGCTAGGGCGGGGCTCCCCCCACCCCGGGACGCAGTAACCCCACCTCCGGAGCACTCCCCACGGGGCCACCCGAGGGCCACCCACGCCCCGTGTGGAATCCCACGTGTTGGCCTGGGGATGTCCTGGGTGCGCTGTTTACCAGGCGAACTCTCGGCTGCCGTGGGGTTCAGGTGGCCGCCTCTGCCTCCCAGCATTTGCTGTTGAGAACCCAGTGCCGGGAAAATATCGAAGGGGGTGCGGAAGGCTGGGTTTCCTCCGTTTGCCCTTCCCCCCTTCCCTGCAATGAAAAGGCCACAAAATCCGGAGCGGGCAGATCTGCTCCACGCCAGCCAGCGAGAGTGGTTTCCGCCCTTCCGAGGGGTCTTTGCAAAGTCCATGGAGAATGTGTATTACCCGCCCCTCCCAAAAAACAACAAAGTTTTCTTGCACCAAAATAAGCTTAGCGTTTAGTTCCCCAAGAACTTTTGGAAGCATCTCTCTATACTTCATCTTCCAGTCTTTCTCCCAGTGAGAGGTGTTTTGAAGTGGAGAACGTAACCCAGCGCTGGCTGCTGCAGGCATTTGGAACATGAACCAGCACATGGAAACTCTCTCTCTCTCCTCCCTCTCCCTCTGTCACCTGCCAAAACAAAAACAAAAACAAAAACAAAAACAAAACCCACAGCCACAAACATTTATTTATTTGAAAGGCTGAGTTACAGAGAAAAAGAGAATCTTCCATTTGCTGATTCATTCCCCAAATGACCACAATGGGTAGGGCTGTGCCAAGCTGAAGCCAAGAGCCTAGAACTCCATCCGGGTCTCTTCCATGTGGGTGGAAAGGCCCAAATACTTGGGTCATCTTCTGCTGCTTTCCCAGGCACATTAGCAGAGAGCTTGTTCGGAAGTGGAGCAGCCGGGACTTGAACCAGCACTCATACAGGATGCTGGCACTGCAGGTGGCGGCTTAACCCACTGCACCACAATGCCAGTCCCTGTCACCTGCCTTTTGAATAAAAACCAAAATCCTTAACAAAAAAGTGCCCCCGCCCCCCCAGTCCTGAGTCTCCCCTAAAGTGCCTGCGCCCTCCCTGTCTGGCCCGCAGGAGCTGGGGGTCTCCTTTGGGGAGTGCAGTGCTGCCCTGGGTCACAACATCTTGGAGCCCATGGTGAGCCTGGCCAGGTGAGTGCCGCTGCCCTGCCCCTCTACTCCTGACCCGGGTCCCCATGTCCCTGTGTCCGTCACAGCCTTGACGAACGGTAATCACTGACGCTCGTTCTGTCTTCTCCACGTCCCGGGTTGGGGGGGCGGGGCAGAGCCCTGTCTGTATTGCTCAGCCCCACCCCCCTCCCCCAGCCGAGCTCAGTGAATGAATGAGAGGAGTGATACATAGCACACAGGAAATACACCGTGAGCAAATGAATGAGTGCAGGAAATGGACTGTGAACCAATGAAGGGGCTCCTCCTGCCCCCACCCCCGGCCATCCCGTCCCTTCACGCCTTCACGGGCCTGGCACACGCCCAGGTTGCATGGCCCCAGTCCCCAGCCGTCTCCCTCCCTGCTCACAGCAGCCCCTTGAAGGTGCCGGGGCAGACAGGGCGGTCAGAGCCTCTGGGTCTCTACTTTCCTGGTGCCACAAAGAGTGCAGGGCAGGGCGGAGCAAGTTCGAGGGGGAGGTCAGGTGCAGCCCCCCCACCTCCCCCACACCCATGCCCGCCCCCCACCGCTGCTCCTGGGAGGCGGGGTGGGGGAGGGGAGGGAGACTGACACCCGGGCACGGCCAGCAGGTCCCTGAGGGTGCAGGAAGACCGCCTGAAACGCTCGCTGGTGGACATGGTCCCCAAGAGGCCACCCAAGAGAGCCGGCTGCTGCTCCTGACCCCAGATGGGCGCCACCCCTCCGGGTTTCCTGCTGCTTAGCCTCGGTTGCCTTCCTGGATGGACACGGCCCTGGCCGAGAGGACCCGGAAGATCACCCTGGAGTTGGGACTCGGCAGTGGAAACGGGGCTCGGGGGTGGGGCAGCGTGCAGAGGAAGAGTCTAGAAAGGCGACAGAGGAAGGTCTCTGGGAGGGCGTGCAGTTGCAGGGCGGATGCGCAGGTTCCTGTCTCCAGAGTGTCCATAGCGGCGAGGTGTTCCTTGTACATTCAGAAAAATGACGCGGAGGAGCAGGGCGGGCACCTTGCGAGGCGCTGGCCGCCCGTGCTGCCCGCTCTGCGGATTAAAGATGCCCCATGCTCCGGCTTAACTCTCTCAGTCTTGGGGAAGGATGACATTCAGGTGGCCCCGCAATCCCTGATGTCCTCCTGCCTTCCCGGGCCTCAGGACCCGCCTCCAAGGGCTCATGCCCCGCCCCATGCCATGGTGTCCCCTCCCCCATCACGGCCCTCTGCCCTGGGGAGCAAGCAGGGACCGGCATTCAGACTCCCCCCGACCCCCGCTCCTCTTGCAGCTTTGGCAGGTGTTCCCGGGTTTGCACAGGGGTCCCCTCCTGAAAAGTGATGGCGACCGGGGTCCCTCAAGCCATGAGCGTGGAGAGTGGCCTCTCAGTGTCACATTTGTGGCAAATGTCCCTCACACCCCACCGTGAGTGTAGTGTCCAACAGGTGTGGGGGCCGAGTCTGGTACTTCCCAGTTATGTGGGTCCTGGGCTGTTCCCTGGGGGAGATGGGCAGAGCTGGGGGCGGGGCAGCGCGATCAGGAGAGGAGAGACCTGTGCCATCCACTGAGGTCTCTCAGTTCCTGGCCTCCATCCCGCTTGCCCACTCTCAATGGAGCGCTGCGTCGCTAGGGGCATGCCAGCAGCAGCCAGGTGACCCTCGGCAGGAGGCGGGCTGGAGCAGACCCCGCCTCCCTCCAGGCTGTACCCAGGCTGGCTCCGGCCATCCGGCCCATTCTCCTACGGCGCCCCCTACTGACATCTGACCCCCTCCACCTTTCCCCCTGCCCCGCCTGGCTCTGAGCGATTTCCAGGCCAGCGCCCTCTGTGTGCCCAGCAGTGGGGGGAGGAGTGTGGGCTGGAGGGAGCGATGCTGGCCCACAGGGAGGGTGGGGCAGGTCTTGCTGTTGCTAAGGGCTGTCCCTGGTGGGCACTGTACCTCTGTCCCCCAGGGCATTAATGAGGCAGGTGGACAAGGTGTGATTCCCACGGGAGCTGGGAGAGCAGGCAGAGCCCCGGTCCTCTTCTCTGGGGGACCAGGTGCAGGCGTGGCCACCAGGCCTGCCCCTCCCATGTCAGCTGTGCTCTGGCCCCAGACAGCTGCCTCAGCTTCTCCAGAGGTGAGGCTGGGAGAGACTGGACCCCGGCCCAGAGCGCCCTGTCTCGGCTGTCCTTGACCGCTAAAGCCTTGCAAGTCCCCAGCACAAGCTGGATAAGGAGAACAGCAGGTGGGACTCGAGGTGGACCTCAGGGTGAACTTCCAGGCATGCAGTGAGCGCTCAGGGTCTCTGGCCACAGCATGGCTTGGGGTTGATGAAGGCGGGCGGAACTGGGCTGATGGGGCTCAGGGCATAGAGTTACAGAAAGGGGGAAGGGGATGGAAAGGCTGGGCAGGAGGCTCCAGGGAGGGAGCTTTCTGGACCTGAGTGGGCAGGGACAGAGTGGCAGCTGTCATTTACCCAAGCCTGCCAGGTGCCACCAGGCAATGCTCTGAGCAGGTAACTCGTATGAGCTCGTCTAACCCTCACATCAGCACCATGCTGTGGGACCTGTCACTGTCCCCTCTTATAGACGAGGGACAGATGCATGGAGAGAGCTGGTAACTGGTCCAGGGTCCCCTAGCCCGTGTGTGGGGTTTGGAGGCCAGGCTGCAGTAGCCACTGCGTCACCCCGATACAGGCAGACGGGGGTGCTTCCGTGGCTGGGGCTCTCAGTCCTTTCTCCCCTCCCCCAGTGACCGTCCACGTCATTGTTGATGGAACCAGGGATGGAAAGGTGGTGGCACGTGCCTGTAAATGGCGCAGCTCCGCCAGGCCTGGGGGTCTGGGTTGCTCCCTTGCTTCTCCCGTCCCCTACAGCCCAAATGGAGTCAGAGGCAGCCCCCTGCAGTCTCCCACTGCTCCCAGCAAGCGAGAGACTGCTGTGGGGACCCAAGGGAGTCCCCTAGGCAGGGGCTCTGCAGGAGAGGCTCAGGGGGAGCCCCCGGCCCCTGTGTGGGAGACAAGGGGAGGGGGCGTCCAGGCAGGGCCCCCTGCGCCCGGATCAGCAGCAACACCCGGGAGATGGCTGCGTCAGTCCTGGGCGCGCTTCCCCCAGCTGCACCTCAAGGGTGCTGACCTGGCCTGCAGGGCGGGAGGCGGCTCTAGGGTCCTGTCTCCCAGTCAGTCCTCTCCATCGGGGGATTCTGGTGTGTGCTGCGTGGGGGACGGCTTCTCCCCTCTCTGCCAGGGAACCGGCACAGCACAGGCGAGAGGGCAGGGCCCCTAAGCTGGTCTGCCCCTAACAATCACGCAGCATCCTTTAAAAGATGTGCAGTCCCCGGGCACCCAAAGCACGCCCCCTCGCGGCGGGTCCCAGGCTTCGGAGCTGCTGAAACTCCTGGACAAGCGCTGTGGCCCCTGATGTGGGCGGCAGGGGCTGAACTGCTCAAGCCGTTGCTGCTGCCCCCGCGGCCTGCAGTAGCGGGAAGCCAGAGCACAAGAAGCTGGGGCCAGGAACGAGATCCAGAAGCTACGGTGTTGGGCCCCACAAAGAAACTCGGGGTCTCGGGTCCCCCCCCCAGGCAGGCGTCTCCTTCCATCGTTTCCCCACTGCTGGTCACGGGGACGCCCCTCCCCCTGAGCCGGGACTCCCACCCCTTTCCTATTCAGTGTGAATCCGAACACAGGTCACTGGGCATCTAAATACAGGAACAGCCAGGGACCAGCCGTAATTTACCATAAAAACAAGTCCAACTCTGGGAGAATCAGCGCCAGGGCCCCCCGTGACAGGCAGATAGGGAAGGCACATCTGGGAGCAAACTTGCACGGAGGAGGAAGTCCCCTTCCCTGGGACCGTGGTCCCTGGAGGCCAAGGGGGTCAGCTGTGGAGAGGGGCTAAGGTGCCGTCTGTGTGTGGGCATGTGTCACAGGGGCCGTGCAAATACGCCCCGCCCCTGTCAGGCTGCTGGGCGTGGTGTGGGGAGGGGCGGGGGCCTGCACAGTGGCCTGTGAGTCCTCCAAGCTGGGCCTGAAGCCCCACTTTGTGGCCACAGACCCCAGCCCTGGCGTGCCACGGTTTCAGGACCCCCTGCTAGGGGTCTGCTACCAAGCGCCCTCTTCCTCCCATATCAACCTGGCTCCCTGGCTGAGCCATCACCTCCTCAGGGAGACCCTCCCACTCCTCTAAAACGTCACCCATCACTCGCTAGCCCCTGAATCCTGTGTAACTCTTCCACCACCTGGAGTTGCTGTTGCGGACCCCCGTTCACTGCGGCACCCTCCGAGCCTCACCCGGAGCCGGGAGCCTGGTGGTTGCTCAGCCAATCCGTGCAGAGCAGAAAGCCTTGGGGGAAAGAGAGAGTGAGGGCCCTGTTCTCGCGAGACAGGCAAACGAGGGACTGGACTAAAAGAACCAGATTTACTTGAGTTTAAGGCAAGTTCCACACAGAGACTGTCTCGGAGACGGCACGGGACCCACGGCGCACACACTCCACCATCATGCACGACAGGGCACAGAGGCGGCCGGGCAGCAGACAGGGCGCGGCCTGGGGAGACGGGCGGGCCGGGAGCCCAAGCGGCAAGGAGGGTGCGGCATGCCGGGCTACTCCCCAGGGCCTCAAGGCCGGGCGGGCCCAGGGGAGAGCCCCTCCTCCACCTCTCCCTCAGCGGGACAGGAGCCCAAGGCGGAAGGAATGGGGCGCGCGAGCAGTGATGGGATGGGACACGGTGACCCCAGAGCCAAGACGGCCGGGAGTAAGGGTCCCATCGATGAGGAGTGGGATGGGGACACTGGGCAGAGGGTGGGTGAACCTTCAGGATAACAGAGCTAAATGACATCTAGGACATCTGGTCAACCCGCTCACTGGACAGGTGTGGAAATTGGCTGGGCTTGGTTTCCCACAACAGGCAGGAAGTAAGGGCAGGGCTGGGGCCCAGGGCAAGGAGCAGGAGCGGCACGGGGAGCCCTGGGCAGGGCCGCTGCTGCCCACGCCTCCAGGGAGGGGGCCCCTGGGGCCCTGGGCAGCCTGTGCAGGGCACAGGGGATGTGGGGAGGCAGCAGTGAGTTGTGGCCAAGTCCATGCCAGGGAGACTGTGGATGTGTGTGCTGGAGAGGGCCCCCCCTGCACCATGGCTGCCCCCCTCTGGAGGCCCCGCAGGGTCACGTGAACAGGTTCCCCAGCTGCGGGGGCTCCTTGGAAACAGGGCACAGGAACAATCCTGGGGTGAGGGTGGGGTGGGGGCATGGGAAGACAGCATGGGCAGGAGAACCCGGCTTGGGGAGGAGCCGAGCCCTGAGCCCCGAGCCAGGCTGGGGCTGCCCACGGCTGGCTGCAGACACCTACTGCCTCCGATCATTAGCGGTTCCCTGGCCGAGTGCCGGGGAGCAGAGAAAGGCTGAGCCCCAGACCCCCAGGCCCCAAACCCTGCATGCCTCTCTGTCACCCGTCCCCTCCCTCACTCCTGGGGTGGGTCGGATGTGAGGCCTGGAGATCGGGCAGGAGTCTCCCAGACACGCAGATATCCAAAAGGCTGTGTGGGGTGAATGTGGGGGTTCTGGGAGCCTCCCCCAGGCCCCAGCCCCCGCCTGCACCGCCAGGCTCAGATGTGCGTGTGCATCGGGGAGGCAGGGGGCGTGCGGGCCGGGGACTGCGGGGCCGAGTGCTCGGGGGCGGCGGGCGGGGGCTGAGGGCGGATGCCCTGGGCCTTCATGTAGGACACCAGCTGGTCAGGGATCTCGGCCAGCACGTCGCGGGCCAGGCGGGCCATGCTCAGCACGTGGTTGCCTGTGCGGTCCACGTAGTCCCGGAAGGGCACGAACTGGTGGGCGGAAGGCGGGGTCAGGAGGCTGCTCTCGCTGGAGACCACCTCCCCCCAAAATCCAGGCCTCTGCTCACGGCACCCAATCCCTTCCGCAACACACATACACCCCGCCCCACCTCTTGGGGACCTCCTTAAAGGACCATGTCATGGTCACTCTGCTTTCAACAACAAATACACAGGGGCTTCAAAAAGTTCATGGAAAAAGACAATGAAAAGATAAGTTTCTTTTGGATTAAAACAGTGTGAAATTCATGCATAATTTTTGCTAAATGAGCATTTTCCATGAACTGTTTTGCACTGAAATAGCCTTTTAATTCTATTTCCCATGAGCAGCCTCGAGCAGTTGACTCCAGGCACTTAGTAGGTGCTCAGAAAATGCTGACCCAATGCCCTGGTTCCTCCCCTGCACAGCCCTCGCTGGTTCTTGGGTCCCCTTGCTCTTTCCTGTCTGTGGCCAATCTGGCCGACACCTGGAGCCTGACCCCTCTGGCTTGCTACGGGGCAGGGAGGGGGGCTGCCTCCCACTTGCTGGCTGCCCCAGGCTCAGCCCGGCCTCCGGGCCTCTGCACGTGCTGGCGCCACCTCCCAGATGGCTCCTGCTCTTGTTCCCAGTCCCCTGTCTTGGGGCTCCGTGCCCAGGATGCTCTTCCCGGATGTTTGCACCCATGAGGCATGGACAAGGTCAAGGCTTCCTTGAGCACTGGGGACTGGGCTGTGCTGCTGAGGGCACCTCTGAAGACAAAGACCTCCCTGCTGCTCGTGTCTGCAGCCTGCACGGAGGTGTTAAGACTTGGACGCCATTAGCCAAGCGATGCCCAGTCTTGGAGAGGGCCACAGACGTGGCTTCCCCCTTCGAGAGGTTTGCCGAGGGGCTGCCGGGCACAGAGGGTGGGTGGTCCCGGCGGTCTGGGTGCTCAGGGATGGCTGGCAGAGTGGTAGGGTCCAGCCCAGGGAAGGGTGTGGCTGCAGCACTAGCCCCTCCTCAGAAGGGGGGGTGCAGGCAGCGTTGCTGGAGGGGCTCTCCCTTGTCCTGTGGGGCAGGCAGGCCCTGCGCCTCACCTGGACAATGTCTCGCTCCGCCAGCTTCCCGCGGGAGGAGATCCGCACGTCGTCACCGTCCAGCTCCACCATGGCTGTGAGGGGACGCACGGCACAGGGTGGGGGGGGGCGTTAATGGGAGACATCTTGGCCTGGCAGGATGGTGGACTTGTCCCCCACTCCCCGCCCAGCCCAGCGGAGAGACTGTGCTGGCCCAGGCCCCCATGTGACAGCCGAGCAAGCTGAGGCTGCGAGACAGTGGGAGCCTTGGTGCTTTGCTCCCGGAGCTCCCAGCACTGGGGGAGGGGCAGTGACTGGGGCCTCTTCCCCGCCACACCCAGACAAGCCCCTCCCTGGGGCCTCTTCCCCACCACACCCTGATGAGCCCCTCCCTGTGCAAACACACACACATCTCCACGCCCAGCACACTCCACCAGACAGTCACACACACCCAGGCGTGAGCTGTCACTCTTTGGGAAGGCCGGTCCCAGGACCTGTCGGGCAACACCTTGGTTGGGGGGGGGGGGGCAGGGCAGACTCACCGTCAAACTCTGCCTGACCCACGCCGACAATGATGATGGACATGGGCAGCTTGGCAGCCTGGACCCCGCAAGTGGCCGGGGAAGACAAAGGCGAGACCATGGGAAGCCCGATGCGGATGGGTGGAGAGGAGAGAGGCAGGGGGGCAGGGAGGAGAGGGACATGGAAACACACACACAGGAGGCAGCGACCAGGGGAACAGGGGCGGGGCCCCAAGCAGGAGGGGGCGGAGGGCATGCGGCTCACAGGTGTGCCCCTGTGCGCGGCCTCCACCCTCTTCCGCCCCTGGCTGCACTTTCAGGGGCTCTGCTGGTCCCTCGTGCACAGGACTAGCTCCTTTCATTGGGGAGTCCTCCAGGTAGGGGTTGTGCTCCCGCGTTTCCCCACTGGGGCCTCCCACCTCCTCTCCCAGGCCTGGCAGGCTGGGGTAGGCGGCAGCAGTCCCAGAGCTGGGCGCAGAGCTGCACGAACCCCAAACCCGCTGCCTGCTGCACCCCAGACCATGCAGGGGAAGTCGGGAATTGGATGAGGCGTGGGGGAGGGGAAGCAGGGTCTCCCCAGATGGGGTGGGGCTCCCTATGGGGCAAGGGGCCCTGTGCTGCCCCCACCCGCCCGCTCACGTTCACGATGGCCTCCTTGGTCTGCGCCATGTCTGAGATGACGCCGTCGGTGATGATGAGCAGCACGGAATACTGGGAGCCGTCCCGCACAGCCGCCGCGTTCCTGGGCCAGACAGCGCAGGCTCAGGTCTTCCAGGGGGGGGTGGGCCTTTGGGCAAGTGTCCCCCGCCCCCGCCAACCCCAGGGTCCCTAAACACTGTGATGGGATCAGCCTTTTACAGAGGGGGTTCTTGGTGGGAGTGGACACAGTGGCACGCACCTGGCCACGTGGGTGACAACGGGAGCGAAGTTGGTGGGGCCGTACAGCTGCACGGTGCGCAGGCTGCGGTGATAGGCCTCCAGGATGCCGTCGATGCCACAGCACGAGGGGTTCTCTTGGTTGCCATTCTGCAGGCGCAGGGGATGGGGGCGCTGAGCCCAAGGGACAGAGCCCAAGTGGAAGGGCCCGTGGGCCTGGGCTCCCCTGCATTTTCCCCGGGGCCCGCCCTGAAGAGCTGAACATGCTGCAGTGAGCAAAGTCCAGACCTGCCCCGCCCTACGCCCCGCACCTGCCTCGGACAGGAAGCCTCCAGCAAACCACCACACCCTCCGGTGACTGCAGGTTCGCAGTGACCCCAGAAGGCCTGCGGCTGCTCCATCCCCTCGTGTCTGTCCTGTGTCTGGCATGGCACTGGCATTCCCAGGCACGGGAGGACACTGGCTGAGACTGAATGTCCCCAGCTCACGGGAGGGAGGGAGCAGACACAGCCCAAGGTCTCCCCTCCACGCCCAGGGTCCGGGGGCCCCCACGTGATTGGCAGGTTCCATTCTGAGCACTGGGCTCCCGGGCTCCTCCAGGCACCCACACCTCCTCATCTCTTTGCTGGGGACAGGTCAGCCCCCTCCTCCTCGGGTGTCTTGCTAGGAACGAGAGGCCCAGAGCCAGCTGTGGGCAGTTTTCGACCTGGAGGGAGGCCTCTGTGAGCCTTGACCCAAGCCCCCTAGGCACGGCAGGCAGGCTGTCCCGCTTGCCGGCTCTGTCCCGAGCCCTCGGGCTCCGACAAGGGAAGTGGCCCACCCCAGCCTGGTCATCCCTTTCTCCCGGGAATCCTACCAGCGGGAACTCGTGGGACACCCTGCCATCGGGGGGCAGTTTGGCCCCGAAGCCCAGGGCGGGGAACATCTTGTCGCTGTCGTAGTGCTGGATGATCTCCCCGACGGCCGTCAGCGCCAGCGCGTAGGCGTTCAGCTGGTAGGGGCTCATGTAGTGCAGGGACGTGGACTGCGAGGGGTTTCCTGCGGCACAGGACAGGGGCAACCCGGCTCAGGACGCAGGTGAGGGAGGGGGTTCCGAGGCTCCTCTCACGTTTCCTTCCTTATCCTTTCTCCCCCTGCCTTCTGTGACCCCACCCCAGCCGCTGAGCCTTCAAACCACACAGCCAGAGCTCCCCCGGCCCTGCCAATACCCCGGCCTCCGCTGACACAGGCACCCCAGTTAGCAGGAAGCCCCAGCCTCGGCCACACAGAGCAAACCCCACACTGTCCAGGATGCTGAGTGCCCCCAGTGCTGCCGGAGCAGTGCCCTGGGTCCTCGCAGCCTCCAAGGACCTCCCCTCTTCCCCCACATCTCCCACCATCCTCCTTGGCACTCACCCAGTCCCTGCCTCTTGCCATCCCCACCCCAGGCCCTTAGCAATGACTGCCCTGTCCACCCAGGACACTCTTCCCCACATGTGCACACGGCCCGTGCCCACCCTCCTCAGCTCTGCCCAGCAAGATTGTCCCTGAGCGGCCAACTACAAGCTGCGGCCTCCCCTCAACTCCCCGGCCCTCTCCCCAGAGCTCTTGCAACCATGAATACAGCTCCCCCTGCACTGGTCATCGGTGACGCAGGAGAACATGCGCTGCCTGGGGCCAGTCCTGTAGGATCATGGGTAGGCTCCCCAGCTTCAGGGCTGGTGTTATGGCGCAGCACGTTAAGCCGCAGCCTGTGACACCAGCATCCCACGTGGGTGCTGGTTCAAGTCTGAACTTCCAATCCAGGATGGCCCAAGTGCCTGGGCCCCTGCCACCCATGTGGGAGACCCGGATGGAGTTCTTAGCTCCTGGCTTCAGCTATTGTGGCCATTTGGGGAGTGAACCAGAGGATAAAAGCTCTCTCTTGCTCTCTCTCTCTCTCTTTCCTCTCTCTGTCACTGCATCTCTCATATAAATAAAATAAATCTAAAAAAGTTCAGCCTCATCTGTTGCCCAGCCCAATTGTGACATCACTTAGGAGCCCCCCACCAACCCACTGCTGCCTGTCCCCCCACTTACCATTGGAAGCAGTGAAGTCGATGGCCACGGTGAAGTTGATCTGGGTCCTGGAAGAGAGAGAAGAGCCAGGGAGTCGCCCAGAGAGAGGCAGGGCAGCGGGGAGGGGGGTGCTGGGCAGGGGCTGAGGAGCCTGCCCGCCACCCAGTCCCGCTGGCACCCAGGTATGTGGCCTTGGTGATGTCACACCCCCTGCAGCCACACCCTCCCCTCAGGACCTGCCGGAGCATCAGGAGATAGAACTCTCTGAAGATGGCCTTGGCCATGTCCACACAGGTGAGTGGCTGTGGCCACTGACTTTCTCCAAACCTTGCCCCAGGGCGCACCCGAGTGGGTCACTCAAGGTCAGGTCTCACTGTATTTGTGGCTTAAATTTGGAGTCAGATTCAAATTTAAAACTGGCTGAAAACAGGGGTCGGCGCTGTGGCATGGTGGGTTAAGCTGCTGTCTGTGATGCTGGGATCCCTGTTGGGCGCTGGTTTGTGTTCCGGCTGCTCCACTTCCAATCCAACTCCCTGCTAATGAGCTTAGGAAAGTCGCAGAGTATGGCCCAAGTGCTTGGGCCCCTGTACCCACGTGGGAGACCCAGAAGAAGTTCCTGGCTCCTGGCTTCGGATCAGCCCAGTTCCAGCCATTGCAGCCATTTGGGGTGTGAATCAGCAGATGGAAGACCCTCTCTGTCTCTCCCTCTCTCTGTAACTCTGCATCTCAAGTAAAAAAAAAAAAAAAAAAAAAAAAAAAAAAAAAAAAAAAAAAAACACCTGGCCAAAAACAGAGCTGTCATATGCTATGATTTCCCAAGGGAAGACTGGAACCCCACTCACTAAACTGTCTTGCCGAGAGAGCGGACCTGAATGGGCGGAGCCTCCAGGCCCTCTAGCACTTGTTTATAGGAAGTCCAGGGGACAGAGGAACCCGTTCAGCGACACTGTGGGGATGCAGCCCATACAACCCAGGCCATGGGAAGCTCACTCAGGAGCACTGCCTGCAGTGTGGCCCCAGGGGAGTGCTGGGAGGCTTGGCTGCCCCAGACCCACTCACGCTGAACCTCTATGTGGATGCAGGAATCTGTCCTAGCAGGTCTTCCTCTGCTTGCAGGAGCCGGCAGACAAAGAGAGAACAGGAGATGGAGCCATCATTCGCTGTATAAACCGACCTTGCTTGCACTTCTAAATCAAACGAACCCATTTAAAAGCTTTGGGGGCTGGCATATGGCTTAGTGGCTAAGACTCCCACATTCCACATCAGGAGTCCCTGGGTCTGATCCCTGGCTCCGGCTCCTGACTCCGGCTTCCTGCTAATGCTGACCCTGGAGGGAAGTGGTGATGGCTCCGTGCAGGAGACGGAGATGGGGTTCCGGGCTCCCAGCTTCAGCCCAGCTCAGCTCTGGCTGTTGCAGGTATTTAGGAAGTGCACCAGCAAGTGAGAGCTTTCTGTTTCTATCTCTGTCTCTCCAATAAATATATAATAAAATTAAAAAGATCTTTATAAGGCAATTTGGGAAATGTGAACACTGACTGTATGGCGTCACTATGGTACTGTGGCTATGCTTTACAAAGACAGGGTCCTTATTTTAGAGAGACATCCTGAAATCCATGGGAGATACAAAAGCTGGGATTTGCTGCGAGGTAACTGGATGAAGGGGAGCGTGCCTAGACCGAGACTGGCCACGAGCCTGCAGCCGCTGCAGCTGGAAGAACAGGACTGTGGGTGGAACGCTCCTTCGCCCCACTGTTGCATGCGTCTGAAAACCACGGGGGAGCCAGCTTCTGAAGACGTGGGTGCAGGCCCGGGACTCCCCAAAGGGCTTGCCGTGCCAGCTCCTGTGCCGGGGCGGACAGCACGGAACTGTCCACCGCATGGCTCCCACACTGCAGGGGCTGGTGGTGGGGGTGCTTGCTTTAAAAGAAAAGTCCCAGGAGGCAGGCATTTGGCCAAGTGGTTAAGATGGTTAGGGTACCTGCACTTCACATCCGAGTGTCAGTGTTTTTCGCACGGCTCCTGCCCCTGCCCCCAGCTTCCTGCTAATGCTGGGCTGGGAAGCAGCAGGGGACGGCTCCAGTGACTGGGAGAACTGGATGAAGTTTCCAGCTCCTTGCTCTGTCCTGGCCTGGTGCCTGCTCTTGTGGGCAACCGGGAAGTGAACAAGCATTTGGGAGCTGTGTCTGTCTCTTCCTCTGCTTCTCAAACTTTAAGATACATTGAATAAAAATTCCAGGGTGCCAGCCCCAAGCTGCCGGCTGAGTTGGTCTGGGCTGGGGGCCTTGGGATCTGCTCCCTGAACAAGCAAGCCCTGCTCTCCTCCCAGGTGTCCTGGAGCCACAGACCCTGTGCCGGTGATTCTGAGTGGGGGCCGAGGAAGGCATCAGAGGCAGACCTTACGTCACCTGTACCCCTAGCCGGACACATGGCTCCCTGTGCACCTGACCATGGCTGAGGGGAACGGTCAAGGCCATGGCTAGGAGGCCTGAGCAGAGCCAGTCCTTCCCATGTGCTGCATGGGGGTAGGGTGGGGTGGGGGGTGGCCAACGGAGGCTCAAATAAGGCACACGGTGTGCCTAGGCACACCCTGCTCCAGGCAGGGAAGGAGCCACAGACAGCAAGAGCCAGGGTCTCTGAGTCACTGTGTGGGTCATCTCCACACCCAAGCCAGCTGCCATCAAGACCTGAGGCTGGGAGAGCTGGCTTGCCCTCTCCATCCCTCCCCAGGGAGGGACTCACTGGGAGGGCCATAGCCCTGCTCCCAGGGGGCCACCCCTGAGAGGGGGCAGGAGGGCTGAGGGTCCCTCTGGCAGGCTGGCTCTCGCAAGCACAGGTGAGGACCAAGGCGGGGCTCACTCCCTAGCCAGTCGCTCCCTGCTCTGGCTTCTGAGGACCCTTAGGGGAATAAGTAGGGGGAAGACAGGTGCTTCTGGGGGAAAAGGACTCTGGGGGGGCAGCCCAGCCCTCTTCCCTAAGGGCAGAAACTCCTCCTCCTCCTACACAGCAGAGGCACCCCTGCCCTTCCTTCCTGGGCCCCCATGGGCAGAGCGGAGCCCTAGACGCTTCCTGCCAGGGCCTGCACCCTCCTGGCCACACATGCTCAGGTTCTCCGGAGACTGGAGACAGGGCGGGAGTGCCGGCTCCGGGGCCCCGGCCTGCCCAGCCCAGCAGCATGGCCTCTGCAGCTTTCGGGGCCTGACCTCGCCCAGCCCTCCGTCCCTCTCAGTCACACCCAATCTGGCCGCCACTGTGACAGCAGTAGCCTGAGACAGAGCATGTTCAGGGAGGCCGAGAGCAGCGTCACGGGAAAACGAGGGTGGCGCCCACGGCCTGACTTGGCCTCTGCCCTGCAGGAACAGGCAGCCGAGCGCCCACTTGGCGGGGATGAGCCTTGGCAGCGGCCCCTGCCAGTCTCCTTCCCAGACAGGTGCAGCCGCTCACCTGCCTGCACCTGTGAGCGCTCAGCAACCCACGCCCTGACCTGGCACCTGTGCTGGCAGCGAGCACACCAGGGAGGCCCTCGCCTTGGAGCAAGGCTCTTTTCGTGAGCCTTGGTTGGAACCTTCTGGCTTCCTTGCTTGTGTTGGCTTGGATGCCGTTCCCTGTTTCTTTTTCCCTCTTCAACAGGCGTCTGGCCTTGGGATTATCCTCTGGCCCATCCCCCAATCCTACCGCCCCTTACAGGGCCCTGATAACAGCCAACAGGTTAGTCACTGCCACCTGCACACATACACACACAACCCGGAGGTACTGGGAACTCAGATTAAACCCAACCTAGCCTAACCCTTGTACACAGAGAAGCAGACTGACACCAGGGAGGGAAACCAGATGGCCCCAAGTAACCCAGCAAATTCATGGCAAAGAGGCTCAGACCCGGCCTGACCCCTGGGCCAGGGTGATCAGAGTCCCCCTCCAGGCTTCGCCCCTGCACGGGGATCTGATGTGTCCCACAGGCCTCCTGGGCTCTGTGGCCACTCAGGATCCAGGGCCGTGCAGGGCTTGGGGCCAGCTCCAGTGGACGTGGGGCTCGCCAGGGCCCTAGAGAGGACGGGGCGGGGCGGGCGCTGGTCTCCTGGGCGTGGGCCCTGCCCCCTCCTTCATTCTTCTCACCCTCCTTTGATGTAGTCCAGGAAGGTGCACTCGGACTCCACGGCAAAGGAAAGCAGGGTGACCTTGAAAACAAGAGGGCGCCGGTCAGCGGGGCGGGGCGGGGCGGGGGTGTGAGACTTGGTGGTGTGAGAGCCGACACTTGTTCAGGGCCCGCCCGGGACGACCTGGTGAGCTCCTACTATTGTCCCCATCTTACAGCCAAGCCAACAGAGGCTCAAATAAGGCACACGGTGTGCCTATGAACACTGAACTCAGGGCTGTCCCGGCGTGGAGCCTGCACTCTTAACCTTGACACCAAGCCGCAGCCCGAAGGGTACCACCTCTATCTCAGGACCCCGGGGCAGGCATGGAGGTGAGGGGTCCTCCTGGCACAGGCCTGACACCCACCAATGCGGGCAAGCCCCACGCTGCCATGTAGCACCCATGGCTGGTCCCAAAATGCGCCTCTCTAACCTGCTGTACCCACCTTACACCCTCCTTGTCCCACCGCATCCCTGCGGGGTCTCTCAGCCTGCACCCTCCCAGACCCCAGACCTGACCCCTAACTGAACTCCCCGGGGACTCTGCGGCCAAGCCGAGGCCTGCAGTTCTCCACCTCCCTTCCTCCCCACCCCCCGGCTGCTGTGGCGCTGGCCTTGCTGCTACCCAGCAGTGCACTGCTTGTCATGGGGAGTCTCGCAAGCCCTGCATCCTAGGCCCATGGAGCTCAAGAGAGAGCTACAGGGGTTCGCGGCCCCTGCTGGTGTAGTCAGCCTGGCCACGCCCAGGAGCCCTTAGCCCGGGAGTGCTGAGCTGGCCTGGGAGACCCCACCCACTGGGCTCTTGTCAGCAGCCTCCTTCCCAGGGAGAGGACTTCAGCCCTGACTGATGAGCCACACACCCCCGGGGAGCTTTGAAAACCTGTGCGAGCCGGTTCTACCAGTGTGCCCAGCTACAGCAGAGCCAGACCACAGCATCAGCATTGCCGGGATGCCGCGCAGTAGCACAGACGTGCAGACCCGCGGCCCCCGCCCCCTTGCCCAGGGGATTCTCTAAGTAAGGCAGGAGCAGCAGAGAACACAGAAGACGGAAGCCCAGGAAACGCCAGAGCAAAGGGAAAGCTGGGAACCGGGCCTAGACCCGCTCTGCTCCCGATGCGCTCTGTGACCTGGGGACACTCCCCAGCCCTCTCTGGGCCACGGCTCCTTCTCGATGAAGCGGGAAGGCTGCAGATGAGTCTGCACCTTTCTGCTCTCAGCATTCCCAGCTGGGTACAGTGCTGCCCCCAGGGCGTGTGCGGGGACTTTCACAAGGACTGGGGCTCTACTGGTAGCATCAGGCAGAGGCCAGCGTGCGAGACACCGGACAGTATGCGGGGAAGCCGCGTGAGGCATGGTGATCCCGGCTGGACACGGATAGCGCCTCACGGAGAAACACGGCGGCTGCGCACGGAAATGGCCTCCCAGCCCCTGTGCGTGATGACAGATGGGGGTCAGGCCCCTGGGCCCGAGCAGAGCACATCACAGTTTGTAAGACGGCATTCCCTGCACCCCCTTCCCCGCCCCGTGTCTGTCCCACCCCCAATCCAGAACAGGAAGCAAGGAAAGAGGGATTTTATGAACCCCACTTTACAGATGGAGAAAATGAGGTTCTTCCAAGAAAGCCAAAAGCCCCCAAAGCCCTCATCTGGCTCTGGAGTGGAGTCCGCCTGGCTCGAGTGGCTGAACTTGGCTGCACAAGCGAGCAGCCACGACCTCTAGCATCTGCACCACACAGGCACTGCCTCGTTCTAGGAACGCTTGGGGGCTCCACCACAGGGCCTTTGCACATGCTGTTCCTACAGCTGGAATCCCCTTTCCCTAACCCTTTGCCTTAGTATACTTGGGCCAATCGTACACACAGGCTGTGTGTGTGACCACACATGTGCGTTTGCTCTCCGCTGCCTCCCACGGGGACACAGGCTCCAGGGATGGGAGCCTGTCCTGCTCCCAGCTGTTTCCCCTTTGCCTAGGCCAGGGCCCGGCTCAGAGCAGCACTCAGTAAACATCTGTTGAAGAAATGCAAGCATGCTCTGAAGACTGGGCCCAGGAGCAGGGCGATACCCCGGGAGCCACGGGCGAGCAGGGACAGCTCCCACGGCGGCGGCCGGCTCTGGAGTCAGAGGCTGAGTGTGTCCTGGCTGGGTGACTGCTTGAGTCACCTCCTCGCCTGCAGCCTTGGTTTCCTCTTTAATGACAAGTGGATGAGAACAGCTGCTGCTCCAGGAAAAAACCTGTGGAGAGCGCCAGGCTGGGGAACTCCCGGGGCGGGAGCCCGGGAGGCGCGACTCCTTTTCCTCTTCCTTCCTGCAGGAAGTCCCTTGGGCATCCCCTCACCGTGTGACTCCACGTCCTGCGTCCAGGGCCTGCTGTGCCTGCTGTGCAGTGTGCACCCCCGCCCTAGCAGGTGCACGCACGCACGCACGCATGCACACACACACAGGCGTGACTCCGGCACCACACCCAGCCCAGGACCCAGAGACCCAGAGCGTCCACGCCCCTGGCTGCAGGCAGCGGTGCCTACTCACGGTGCCAGAGTTCACGTATTTCTTTTTCTTCATTTTCTTTTTTGGATTCACCACCTGCAGAAGAAACCAGTTATTGTTGCCAGGCAGTCAGGGCTGGCTGCCGGGGCCTCTGCAGACGCCCCCACGTGGCCCCAGCCAGCCATGGCGGGGCGGGGGCGAGAAGTCCACAGCCGTCAGGGGGACAGGGCGGAGGGAGGCTTAGCGGGAGACTGGCACTTGGCAACCCGCGTCCCACGGTCAAACGCACCAGGAATATTTATTTAATTTTCTTTTGTACTGCCCCCCAAACTGCCCCGGGCTGATGCTGCCCGCGGCCCCATGGGCACCTGCCCGCCCTGTGGCCCGGGCTGTTCCACTCCGCTCTCTGCCCCAGGCTCCCCTCTGGGTGACCACCACCCTTCCTGGGCAGTTAAAAGCCCCTTAGCTGTCCTTCCCGCGTGAGTTTTCACAGCTCAACCAGGAATCACAGGGCTAGCACACAGCAGGCGCTCAAAAAGTCCTGACGGGCTGGCTCAGCGGTGGTCCCCGCTGCGGCAGAGGTGGCTTCCCCGGGACACACTGAGCGATGTCTGGCCACAGCTGTGACGGTCCCAGCTCGAGGAGTGGGTAGAGGCCAGGCACAAAGAATGGTCGAGGCCCACGCGTGGCTGACAGCCCCAGGGCCGAGGAGCACCCCACAGGGCTCTCTCAAGGGCCACATCGCTCCTCGTGCGTGGGTTTTCTGTCCACCTTCCAAGTGTGGGGAGTCCGGGCACAGCCCTTCCTGCGGTGCCATCAAACCGAGCCAGGCGGTTTCCCGCGGCTCTGGTGCGTGCTGCTGTCTGGCCAGCTTGCCTGCCCTCTCCCGCACCCCTGCTCTGCGCACGGTGGCCACAGCTGTGGGATCCTCGGTGTGAACAACTACCGACATCTGCTTCTGGAAAAGGAGACGAAGGTGCAGAGATGCCCAGCGACTCCCCTACGGCCGCCCAGCTGTCTGCGTGGCGACAGCGTGAGGAACCAGGTTCCCAGGGGCCGGCGTCGTGGTGCAGCGGGTCAAGCTGCCTGTGACGCAGGCGTCCCATACTGCAGCACTGGGTCAGGTCCCGGCTGCTCTGCTTCCAATTCAGCTCCCTGCTGATGCACCTGGGAAGACAGATGCTGATGATAGCCCGAGGACGTGGGCTCCTGCCGCCCACGTGGGAGATCCAGATGAAGCTCCCGGCTCCTGGCGTCGGTGTGGCCCAGTCCGGGCTGTTGCAGCCATCTGGGGAGTGAACCAACAGATGGAAGACCTCTCTCTCTCTCTTACTGTCTCTCCCTCTCTGTCACACTACTTTTCAAATAAATACAATAAATCAAGGAAGGAAGGAAGGAAGGAGCCAGGTTCCCAGCCCCAGGCCATTGGTGCCACCTTTAAACCAAATGCATCTCCGAGAATCGCCGGCCCTGTGGGAGAAAGGAGGTATGTCCCCAGGGCAGCCACAAAGGCTGCCAAGAAAGAGGAGTCACAGAAGCGTCAGGGGAGCTGGCAGGAGGAAGACCGGCCCCGGGGCAGCACCAGTCAAGGCTCCCGGCACCGGTGGTGCTCAGGGCAGACTCTGAGAGGCGGGAAGGCTTCGGGCATCGAGAGACGGACATCAGAGGAGATGTGGGGAGAAGCTCAGAACTGGGGTCCAGTCTGAGTGCAGAACCACGGGATGAAGGGGTGAGTTGGGTAGGATGGAGGGGGGTGAGCTGGGCAGGATGCAGGGATGAGTTTGGTGGGATGGAGGCAGTGAGTTGGGCAGGATGCAGAGGTGAGTTGGGAGGGATGCAGGGGTGAGTTGGGAGGGATGGAGGGGTGAGCTGGGCAGGATGGAGGGGGTGAGTTGGGTAGGATGGAGGGGTGAATTGGGTGGGATGGAGGGGTGAGTGGGGCTGGCTGGAACAGAACCTGAAATGTCCCCCAGTGGCCTGTGGGGACGCTGGCAGGGGACAGTCACAGCAGGCTCTAGGATGCTGGGACCTGGTGGAGGTGATGCAGGGGAGGAGGAAGACAGCAGGGAATGCTCGCCCAGTTCTGCACCCAGCAGCTCCACGACCCGAGGCAAGCTACTTAGCCTCAGTGTGCCTCAGTCTCCTCACCTGCAAAATGGGACTACAAAGTGCCCACCTCACTCTAGAAAGGTATGGGATTAAACAAACGACAGCAACCACAGTGCTCAGTACGTACTCCAGAGGCATCGGCTGCAATTTTCAACAACCTACTGCTACCATCATTACTGCCACCACCTACTGCTACCTTCATTACTGCCACCACCCGTCCCGGTGAGAGAGGGAACGAGAACCTGGGGAACGGGGTGCTGGGGCAGATGCTGAGCTGCGGCCGGCACAGCACTGTCAGGAAGCGACCGCCGGAGCTGTTCTTAGAGTCCTTCTGTGCTCTTTACGTTAGCCTGCCCCGACACGTCCACCCTCTAACATAACCGTCTCAACTCCAAGCGCCTGTTTGCTCTCGGATCTCCACCTGGAGTGGGCACTGAGGAAACACCCTGCCTGGCCCCAAGTTTCCTGGGCTCCCGGGAACCCATCTCTCCAGCCCTGAGTAGCTGCCGCGGTGAAGTTGCACATAGGGAGCCACAGCGCCCCCTAGAGGCCGTCCTAGAAATCGCCACACTCGCTAAGCCGCCTCTTCTTCCTCTTCCCAGGGGGACTCCCAGGACAGATCTGGGGTCTACCTCCTGATACAGCAGTGAAGGAAGCATGGCTCAGCCCTCGGGGATCTCGGGGTCTTCGAGGGGGCTAGGAAGCATCAGCAGTCTGCCAGAGCCTGGGAGTGCTAGGCGTGTGCTAGGGGTGTGGGTAGAGCCGGCTTGCTGGGGGCAAGGACAGCAGATCCCACCTGGGAGAAGACCACAGAAGGGAGCCCGGGTGGAGGCTGAGGCAGTGCGGAGGTCCAAGGCCTCGGTTGGCTGGGGGCAGGGGCAACTCCTGGGGGCCTGGACAGCTGCATGCCCAGGACAGCTGTAGCGTGTCTGGTTGCATACACAGCCTGCAGGGGCTGGCATGGGGTGGGGGGCGTGGCGTCCTGGATGAAGGAGCTAGGCCGTGCCCTCCAGGCCCGAGGATGTCAGCCAGGGTGGGCGGCTCTCCAGTGCCCTCTCACTCCTCTGTGCCAGCTGGACTGAGGGTCGATGCCCACACAGGCTTCAAGCGGGAAAGACTGACGAGTCGGTGGAGGGCAGAGGGAGGCGGGAAGGCTGCTAGGAGGCTGCTGTGGACATCGCGCGTGGCGGGGGTTGGGGTGGCAGACTGCGAGGTCGGGGGTCATGTGGGCACTGGCAGGGGCAGATCAAGCGTTCACAGTGGCGGGCTGGATGTGCAGAACCGGATGGTAAGGGTGACCCCGCAGGCGCCTAGGACCCGTGACGGGGACACAGGTGGCAGAGCGGACTGTGGGGGGCACAGGCTGACGGTGGACGCCGGCCCCGGGGCATGGGTCTTTATTCACGGGAACCTGGGGGCCTCTTCGGGCAGCTCTGACTGGAGCGAGCGTTCCTGACCCGCCCCGGCTGCCCAGCGATGACACCCCGGTCCAGATCTGCCCCTGGGCTCGCCTCTCCCCTGATGGCCCTTCCTGGTGCAAAGCAGCTCCAGGCTCCTCCTCTGTTGACTGCAAAGCCACAGAGATCAGGGCGGTGACAACAAACCTCTTCGGAGCCAGGCAAGCACCTTCTGGAGCCCTACTTCATCAGTCCTGACCCCTCCACGTCCCTGAGAAACAGCCTAAGATGAGGCCAGAAGGGGGTGGAGCCAGGGCGGGGGGGGGGGGGAGGCACAGACGGCCCCTCCCTGCGTGTACGCCGAAAAACAAAGCAAGGCGCCGAGCCCTGCACAGCGATTCACCCGTGCCCGCCTTCACGGCAGCCACGCTCAGTTGAACTTGGTGTGTGAAGGGGTCACAAGCATGGCTCTGCACCAGCAGCGCCCTGGCCAGGCAGGGAGGCAGCACGGAGGGCCGGCACCTCGCCTGCCCTCGGGAGCACAAGGCTTGGAACAGCCGTGCAGGGGGAGGCAGTGAACTGTCAGAGGACTTGGTCAGAGACGGGGCCCAGAGCCCTGAGGGCCTCTAGCGTGCGGTAGGACAGCTATGCAGCGGTCAGCAGAGGACAACAGGCGCCAGCAGTGGCCTCTGGGCCAGGCTGCGTCCCTTTGGCTTCTTTAATTCTCAGTGTGCACGGCGCGGATTGCTTCGGGAACCCAGCCAAGGTCACGGAGCTGGTAAGGGGCAGAGCCAGCATACGACGCCGGCGGCTCTGAGGGGTGTCGGCATTTACCGTGAACATGGATGTTCGCAGGAGGTTGGAAAAGGGACGAGGCGCAAGGAGGCCACTCAGAGCAGGAGGACCTGAACTCAGTGCAGGAGCTGGGGAGGGCACGGGAGAGGCACATGCAAGCAGGTGATATGGCCCCCGGAAGGCCAATGCTGCTCTCCCAAAGAGATGGGCGGCCTCGGCCAAGGCGCTGTGGCCCTGGTCTAGGCCGATGAAGACATCCCAACTCCTGATCCCTTGGCTCTGTCCTGGAGGAGGTGAGATGCTAAGCTCCCAGGCCCTGTTCCGGTTGGAGGCAGAGGGCCGCCATGAACCTCAGGCCTCCGGCTGGGAACCTTCTTATTCCACCCCCCACCCCCGCCTTCCCTGGGATATGTGTCTATAATCCAGTGATCTGGAATCAGGCAAATCGGGGTGGTCTGCTGCTTTTGACCTGAACTTGAACTTGAACTGAACCATGGGACTTTGGGCAAGTTTACCCACTGCTACCCACAGAACGTAGCAACAGCACCTCACATGGAGACACCCAAAGCCCCAGCCTCGCACGTGGCGCATTGCAGTCCCCAGTGACCAGGAGCCTCGGAGCATCAGAGCAAACCCTGTGCTTCCGGCGCCCGCCTCACCTCGTAGATGTTGAACTGGCTCTGCCCGCGGGCCAGCTCCCGGTAGCTGGTGGTGAACTCCCCGATGAAGTCGTGGCTGCAAGGGAAGACTGCGGCTGAGACCCTGAGGCCTCGGCCTCTCCCACAGCCCTGCCCCTTGCTCCCAGGTCTGTCTGGGCCTCCACTCCTAGGGCACCTTGCAGCAGAGAGGCGGGTCCCTGGGAAGAGAGCCCACGGTCACCTAGCAAAGAGCCAGCCTGGGAGGAACAGGGCCCGCTTCTGCCTGGATTCTTGTTTGAACAAATCAGCAATGGAAGGCACTGAGGGGACAACGGGGGCAATCTGAAAATAAAAAGCAGACCGGCTGGCATTCAAGCATTACTGCTCAATGTCAAGTGCAAGCGTGGCATTTGCGGTTGTGTAGGAAAATGCCCTTATTTTTTAGACATTTCCAATGGGATATTTAGAGGTAAAATGCCATGATGTACTTTACTTTAAATGACATTACCAACATGCAGATAGAGCAAAGCTGGAAAAGTTTTAGCAACAGTTCAGTTAAATTGTGAAAATCAGGTGCAGGGCGTAAAGGCGGTCCTGAAGCAGCTCTCCTTCCCTGTGTATCCGACGATTTCCCAATACGTGTTTTTAAAAGATCATTAGAGCCGGCGCCGCTGCTCACTAGGCTAATCCTCCACCTGCGGCACCGGCACCCCGGGTTCTAGTCCTGGTTGGGGCACCGGATTCTGTCCCGGTTGCTCCTCTTCCAGGCCAGCTCTCTGCTGTGGCCCGGGAAGGCAGTGGAGGATGGCCCAAGTGCTTGGGCCCTGCAACCCATGGGAGACCAGGAGGAAGCACCTGGCTCCTGGCTCCTGGCTTCAGATTGGTGCAGCGCCGGCCCTAGCAGCCATTGGGGCGGGGGGGGGGGGGCGGTAAACCAACGGAAGGAAGACCTTTCTCTCTATCTCTCTCTCACTGTCTAACTCTGCCTGTAGGGGTGGGGGAAGCCAGTAGAGAGGTAGAGGGGGCTGCCGCCTGTGGCATGGGCATCCGACATGAATGCCGGTTCCTGCCACAGCTGCTCCACTTCTGATCCGGCTCCCTGCTGCTGGCCTGGGAAAAGCAGGGGGTGTTTGGGCCTCTGCCACCTACATGGCAGACCCGGATGAGGCTCCTGGCTCCTGGCTTCCGCTTGGCCCAGCCCTGGCTGTTGCAGCCATTTGGGGGAGTGAACCAGCAGATGGAATATGTCTCTGGCTCTCCCTCTCTGTAACTCTGACTTTCAAATGGATACGTCAATTAATAAAAGACAATGAGAGTCGTGTGCAGCCAGGCAGCTGGGGGTGTCTGCGCGGTGCCCTGCCCTTGGGAAGTGTTTAGCTGAGGTTCAGCCCACTCTGTACACAGCACAGCTCACCCCCTTAACCCTCACTGTCCCTGTGGAGGGGGCAGGGGTGTGCAGGAGGTGGGCGTTGGCCCCTTGCCCTGCGAGCACCCACGCTGTTTCGGGTGTACGTGTTCACAGCTCTTAGCTGGCTGACTACAAACGCCTTGATGCGGGAGCCCCCTGGCAGCCAGTCCCCAGCTGACCCAGGAGAGAACACTCCAGGTGCGGGAGAGTGGGGAGTCGGGGATGTGAGGCCATGAGAGAGGAGGCAGGGGAGCTGCGAGAGGCTCCCTTCCAGGAGGCCTCCGGGCCAGGGCAGCTCCTTGGAGGGGGCGTGGGCCCCAGGCAGAGCACACAGCTGCCTCAGTGCCACTGCTCATCCCACCGACTCCGAGGGACCAGCACAGGCCCTTCAGTGACTCGCTGACAGTGCCACCCGACGGGGAGGTCACTGTGGGCAGGGTGACCAGGGGGAGCCCTGAGTGCCGAGCTCAGCCTCTGTGCTCCCTCAGCCCAAGCCCCCACCCAGAGGGCACTCGGGCCGGAGCTGTGCCTGGGTTCGGCAGGGCAGCGGCCGGCCCTGGTTGGCTACGGGGAAGCTCCTTAAGGAAAAGGGGAGGGGCCTCTCCTGCAGGATGGGGGTGCTGTGGTGCCTCAGTGGAGCAGGGTGGGAGGGGCCACCATGCAGAAGATCCACTCCCGCCCCCTGCAGGAAGACCCAGATCCGGACCCCTCCCCAGGTGAGGTCCAAGCTCGGCCCCCAGCCCGCTTACCTGCCATCGCGGTCCCAGTCATACACCTCCACCTTGATGGTCCTGCAAGACAGAGGGCCTTGGTGGGACCGGCTAGCCTAGCCCCACACTGCACCGCACCGCCCGCTCTGGGGCCAGGAGGGGAGGCCAGGACACCCTTCCGGCTCCAGGGCCCTGAGTGGGGGAGGTGGCAGCCTCCTCCTGAGGCCTTTTAGCAATCGTGGGAACAGGGGCAGCCCCAGAGCCCTGCAGGCGCCTCCAGGAATTTCAAGGAGGCCTCAGACCTCTGTGCGTGTGCGGTGCGTGGGGCCTGGGGCCAGGGTGAAGCTGCAGGATGACTTATGGGGTGCAGTCAGGACAGTGGCCGTGTGGCCCTCCGTGGGTCTCGGGCCTAAGCAGGGGCGACAAGACTGCTTGGGGGGGACCACAGACGTGAAGGGGCTGAGTGGCAGCGCCGGCCGAGTCAGGGATGGGCCCATGGCCTTGGCGGGGACCAACCGCGGCGCCTGTCCGAGCCGCGCGACTGGCTCCTGAGTGAGGGTGTAATTATCTTCACATTTTAGCCTGGCTGCTTTAATTAGTTTGTTTTGACTCCTATGCATGGGGCTGGGCTCTGAGAGCCCGGTTTATTTTTAGCCACGTTCCCATGGCAACAGGCTAGCGGACCAGGCTGCAAGGAGGGCGCGGAGGCTTCTGGTTAACTCTCGGTGCTGGCTGCTCCGGCCTGGGAGGGGTCCAGGGCAGGGGGGGTGGGGCAGGGGGGTGAGGCCGAGGGAGCCGGCGGCCCCCGCCCCCAGCCTTCGCGTCTACCTGGCGCCCTGGTCTCGCCCTGGCGGCGGCGGGTCTTGGGCCCGCCAGGAGTCGGCCCTGGGGCTCTGGGCTCCCAGCAGGAGGCGCTGCCTCCCTGCAGAAGAGCCTCCTCGGCCGGGTGGGCGGGGGACAGCCGCACCTACAGCAGGTGTGATGAGAGCACTGTGTAAACCAGGAGGCGCAGATGCCCGCCGTGTAAAGGGATCCTTACTCCAGGTCTGGGATCCCGCCCCTGCCCCAGACAGGGCTGATGTGTCCTGGTCCCCACGGGGACAGCCCCCCCCCCCCAGCTGCAGGGGACCTTCAAAGACCCCAGCAAAAGGGCACCTCCCCTCCAGCCACCAACATTGGCCCCTCAGGTGACGGCACAGTGACAGCTGTGTGCCCAGACGCTGCAGGAGGACCCCAGCTCGGGGACAGCCCTGGGTATCCACGTGATCACTGTGGGGTTTTGTTTAGCTCCAAGCACAGAGCCTCTCTGAGGGGGTCTGTACCGGGCTCGGGCACCGGCAGTTCTGAGAAGCCCCCACTGACTGCTGCTGCAGCCAGAACCCCAGCTTCCTTGGGATCAGATCCCAGTTTCCCAACCTGGCTGCACTTTGGAATCTCCCGCGGAGCTCTGGCCACGCTGGTGCCGATGCTCATCCCAGAGACTTGCAATCATTTGGGGCATGGGGATCTGAACCTGCAGCCGAGGGTGCAGGCTCCAGAGAGGCGATGGGGCGGTGGTCAGGCTAGCTCAGAAGCCACCACCTTCCAGCCCTGGGGGAGGGGGTGGCGTGGGGGTAGGGCAGCGGTGCGCCAAGGCCTGCGGGCCATAGACAGAAGCCAGGCACAGCTCTGGTGACTGTTCACAACACTAAGGCACTGCCCAGCCCTGATCTCACAGGCACCACTCGCAGCCTGCAGGCTCTGGCTCCCAACCCTGTGCGCAGTCCCCGCATGCGCAGTCCCCAAAACGGCTTCTGTCAGTGACTTGCGGGGACAGTGCCCAAGAGAACGGGCTGTGGCCTAAGAGACCAGGAAACAGGCCCCTGCGGCCCACAAACTGAACATCTTATTTGGCATAGGACACAGAGCCCCAATTTTGGAGGCAGTGAGCTGGACAGGGGAGGCCGCAGGCTCTGGGGTTCAGCCCTGGGGGTGGTCTTGGCTCTATCGGGTACCAGCAGCACAGCCCTGGGCAGCTGGCTATACCCTCGGAGACTCTGTTTACTCAGCTGTGCAGTGGGATCATCGCACACATGGGGAGGAGCGCTGTGCCGTCCGCAGCGTGTCACGCGTTGTTCTCTTCCTGCCTAAGACCCTCCAAACTCCAGTCTCCCAGGCCATTCCCACGCACCGGGAAAATGTCAGCGCTCTGAGGCCAGGGCTGTTTCTTTGTTTCCTGCCAAATCTTCAGCGTCTAGGCCAGTGCCAGGTGTATATCAGGTGCTCTACAAACCTGTGAAATGGGCTGGGCAGGTACAATGCCCTCGCCCACAAAATCACACATAGAGGCTTCCCCTGGGTCACAGAGCTGGTCACCGGTGATGCCAGGAGCCACTGTCCTGGGCCTCTGCACACCTAGGGTGGGGGTGGGGGGGAGCGCCCCCGGCTGGCGGATGAGGGCCATGGCCAGGCGGGCTTCCTTCTGCACACCAACCTGCTCTCCCTAAAGTCTCCTGAACTGCAAGGCCCTCCCCCCATGGAGTTGCTGCCTGGTGAGGAGAAGACCGTTTCCCCCTGCTCTCAGTCCCGGGGGCTGCCAGACCCCCCCCCGGGGGGGGGTCCCACACTCCCAAGAGGCTTCAGAGCAGCAGAGAGGCGCCCAGGCCTCCCCTGCGGCAGGCAGGGGGCCCAGCGCCGAGTCTGCGCTGCGCAAGCTTGGGCTGTGCCACACGCCCCTACCTCCTACCAGAACCTCAGCTTCGGCAGGTGCAAACGGGAGACAAGACAGCCCTCAGGGAGGTCACAGAGCGCGGCCCTCAGCGCGTGGCGGGATCAGGGCAGGGGTTCGGGGAGGCAGTGAAGCCACTGCTGGGGACACTCGTGTCCCCTGTCAGAGGGTCTGGCTGGAGTTCCAGCTTCCGCCAATGCACACCCCGGCTGCCACCACATGATGGCGCAGGGACGCAGGTCAAGTGTGCAACCTGGACTGAGCTCCTGGCTTCCACTTGGCCCAGCCCTGGGCTGTTGTGGGCATTTGGGCAGATGGGAGATTGCTCTTTGTCGCTCTCTCTTTCTCGCCGACTTTCAAATAAATACACATAAACAATACGATTTTAAAAAATCTAAGGGGCAGCAGCTCATTGAGCCAGGGTGCCAGGGGGCAGTGAGAAGCTCAGTGATGCGACCACCCGGCCTCCCGGGGCCTCCTCTCCCCGCTGCCCGCGAGGACTCCGCCTTCAGACACCCTCTTCAAACCCACTCGTTCAACTTGAAGGCGTGATGAGTGACAGCAGCCAGGCCCAGACAAATCCGCAAGTCACGGAACGTTCCAGAGGAGGGGAGGGCGAATTCTGGGCAGCCAGGGGAAGTGCCTCTTGTCATCACCCCGCTGTCCCACCCTGGAGGGCTGGGCTGACCCCGACCCCAACCCTGACCCCGACCCCGACCCCGACGCCACTTCCTCTGACTATGGCTCTGACTGGTCTCGTGTGGACTGGAGACACAGCAAAGGCAAGGGGACCCCAAACCAGGGGGCCAGCCCAGAAGTGACATCAATGGATCCTCCATTTCCCGACCTGTAAAATGGGCACATCGCTAGGGCCCATTTTCTAGGGTTGCTGTGAAATTTAAAGTCACAAGGTAAAAATAATGCACTTGAACTGTTAGGATACAGCCTGGAACATGTCCTAAACAGTCATTTTTTAATAACGTTAGCAGGTACCACCCCTCACCCCCCCCACCCCTGGGTACTGCCGCCCTCTCAGCAAACCCCGGCCCCTGCCCTCCCTGACAGCTTTTCCCACACAGGAGTCGACACTTCTGCTTGGATTCTCCTCCCTGGCTGCAGCCTCCCTCCTCTGGGCCCCCTCCTCTCTCCCTTGCTTGCTCCTGACCTGTGGCATCCTCCACGGGGCTCTGGGCACCTGACCTCTGCCAACCCCTCCTGGAGACCCCCCAGACCCCTGCCCCTCCCCCTCAGCTGCAGCTGGTCCGCAGCACCCATGCGAAACGCGGCTGAAAACCCCTCCCCCTCCTCTCCCTCTCAACAGCAGCAGCTCATTTTCAAACAACAAATGCAATTTAAAAAATAGTTACTGGGGCCGGCGCTGTGATGCAATTGGTTAATGCCCTGGCCTGAAGCGCCGGCATCCCATGTGGGCCCCGGTTCTAGTCCCGGCTGCTCCACCTTCAATCCAGCTCTTTGCTATGGCCTGGGAAAAGCAGTAGAAGATGGCCCAAGTCCTTGGGCCCCTGCACCCGCATGGAGACCCAGAAGAAGCTCCTGGTTCCTGGCTTCGGGTTGACGCAGCTCCGGCTGTTGTGGCCAATTGGGGAGCAAAACAGCAGATGGAGGACCTCTCTCTCTATCTCTGCCTCTCCTTCTCTCTGTGTGTAACTCTGACTTTCAAATAAATAAATAAATAAATCTTTTCAAAAAATTATTTACTTATTTACTTGAAAGAGTTACAGAGAAGGGGGAGAGAGAGAGAGAGAGAATCTTCTATCTGCTGGTTCACTCCCCAAGTAGCTGCAGCAGCCAGAGTGGAACCAGACCAAAGCCAGGAGCCAGGAACTTAACCCAGGTCTCCCGCGTGGGTGCAGGGGCCCAAGGATTTGGGCCATCTTATTCTGCTTTCCCAGGCTCATTTGCAGGGAGCTGGATCAGAAGTGGAGCAGCTGGGACTTGAACTGGCGCCCCTATGGGATGCCAGCATAACAGGCAGCAGCTTTACCCACCATGTCACAGCACCGACCACAACAAATGCAATTTTTATTATATAAGGGAAATGATGTTGGGGTTGGCGTTCCTGGCTCCTGGCTTTAGCCTGACTCAGCCCCAGCCATTGCGGCCATTTGGGGAGAGAACCAGCAGATGGATGACCTCTCTCTCTCCTTCCCTCCCTAAATATAACTCTGCCTTTCAAATGAATAAATATCTTTAAAAAAAAAAGAAGAAGAAAATAGTGGGTGGCCTGTGGGCTGTAAGGACAGGATGGGGCCAGCAGAGCCCACTCTGGGCCACACCCTACACTTCTCTTGTCCCGAGGCTCCAGGTCTCGTTCCCGCCCCCGGAGACACATCGGGCTCTTGGGAGTCTCCCTTCCTGCTGTTCCTTCTCCTGACCGCATCACCCCCAAACCACCAGGACCCTGCCTGCTTGCAGGACTAAACCAGGCAGCTTCTCCACCTTGGACCCCACAGCAGACCTGAGCAAGGGCCTCGTTACCCGGCCTCCCTGGCGCCTGCCAATCACAGCCGGGGGCACCACATCTCCGTGCTGTGGCCGTGCAGCCAGCCTAGGTCCCAACCCTGCTTCTGAGGTCACTGGCAGCAGACCCGGGGACAGGTTCCTCGGTCCCTCTGGGCCTCAGTTTCTGTACCTGTCACACGTTCGACCTACCAGTGCCACCTCCCAAGGAGGAGCCAACTGCTGCGGGGATCAAATTAGCTTGTGGGCCCCAGGGACACTCAGAACAGGGCCTGCTGATGACCTCTCTCCTTGCTGGCTTGGGAGCCGCCCGGGGTGGGGAGGACCTCGATGAACAACCCCCACCTCCACCCCATGCCACTGGAGCTGCTGCCTGGCTGACTTAGAAACCACAGGGGCTGGGCGACTCTGAGCATGCTCTGTGAGGTTCCAGAACCTTCCCCTCCCCCCCCTTGAGGGACTGTGGCCTTGTTTTCCTGCACCAGGCCCTCCCTCGCCTGCCCCGGGCGCCTGCGGGCGCTGGCACCTCCGGAGAGGGCTGCCGGGTGTGTGGGTTACACTGGGGCTGGGGCGGGTAGGTCTGCTCCCTCCCCCGCGCCAGCCTGACATGCTGGGCCCTGTGATGAACAGGGCTGTCAGTCATGTCACAGTCAATCTGTGTCTGGCCCTGCAGAAGGGCCCAAGCTGCCTCTATCCTGGAGGGAGCCAAGGCTGGGGCTCGGCGGGGGGAGGGAGCTGGGAGCCTGCCTGCCTTTCACTCCCACCCAACGCTTACCTGCTCGGTGGCCCAGCGTGGAGGCCAGGGCTCTGAGCCTCGCTACCTCCTCCCATGTCCTGACAAGGCTGGGCCCTGGTACCCTGGGAGCCCCTCCATCCCCACACGCACCTGTCAGTGGCCCCAGTGAGCAGGGTCCCAAGGGCTCTGATGCCCCCGGTGATCCCAGCTGAGCGGCCAGCAGAGACTGGGGCTTCCTGGACAGTGCCCCCTGCCAGCTCACCCAGCTGAGCGACAGCAGTCGCTAGGAAACCAAACTGGGTTCCTGTGATCTCACGTGGCTCCACGCTCTCCTGGCCCTGGCCACAACGTGTGGAGACGCGTTTCTTTGTGCGACCATGGGTTAACGGCCCCACGGGTGTGTGGGCTTTGTGAGGTGGGGTGACCGGTGAAGACTGTGTTCTGTCCCCTGCTAACTGCCTCGCCCCCGGCACAGTGCCTGGCGCATGGCAGGGACTCACAGATAAACGCTTGTGCACCGGGCACTGAGTTCTGTGTCTTACGCACAGCCAAGCCTCCTTGTGCAGCTTCTGTCACAGGAGCCCAAAGCAGTCCCAGGAGGTAGGGGAGTTCACGTCCATTTTACAGATAAGAAAACTGAGGGTCAGACAGGCCAAAGCTTGCCCAGGCTGCCAGTTCTCTTTAGTCACGTGCTCAGCCTTAGACACGAGGCAGCTGTACTCTCAGACCACGACCATAGCTAGCACATTGTAAGAGCAGCGCTGTGTTGATCAAAAAGCCCTCCCTGCTGGTAACTGGCCACAGGGGGTGCACCTGGGATCACAACCCCAGGGTGCAATGGCAGGGAGCTGCGGCTGGGGAGGACCGGTGACCTTGGCTTTTAGCTCTAGCCGGCTGCACCTCTCCAGGCAACCATGGAAGACAATCTGCTGAGCCCAGGCCTGGGCGCCAAGACACCCATCTGGGTTGCCCTGGGATCCTAGGCATCTCCTGTACCTCCAGCTTTGGGAGGTGGGGTTAGGAGGAGGCCCTGGTGGGGAGGCCCTGGCCCGGGGAGGGGGAGCCGGGCTCTCCACTCACCGGTCGTAGTCGCCATTGCAGAGGGCTCTCACGGGGATGGAGAAGGTCTGCCACACCGGGTTCAGGGTGTTCTTCATGACCTCCGTCTTGTGGCAGATGGTGAACCTGGCAGAGAAGGAGACGAGGAGAGGCTGTCAGGTGTGAGCCCAGGCAGGCGGCCCCCAGGGCACAGAGGAGCTGGCTGATCACACGGGCCTGGGGCCAGGAGGGCTCCTACAGAGAGCCTGGGTCCCAGCTCTGGTTTTGGGCCCGCCTGCCCCGATCGGGCCTCTGCCTCCTGCCCCGGAAGCCAGGGAGTTGGCCTCTAGCAGGGACTCCCCGTCTGAGAAGCGTGGGTGGACGCTCGAATCGCAGTGGAACCTCAGGGTCCGGGTGTGGCTATCGCTGCTGCCCCAGCCCCGCACACTCTCTCCCCAGCCACTTCCATCTTCACGGCTCACCCCTCACCACCTTGGAGTCCAACACCACCCCCATGAAGCCCTCCCTGACCTCGCTCATCTGAGACGCACTCCAAATCTAGTCCTATGACCCCACACCCCCGGTCCCTCCGTGGCCTCCTTCTTTCCGTCGCATTTGTCACCAGTGGACATTTTGACAATGTCCACATTCTTCCTTGTCTGTTCTGTCTGTGCTCCATCACCAGTATGTGAGTTCCCCAAGAGTGAGCATTTCTGTCCCGTTTGGTCACTGGGCTATCCCCAGGGCCCGCCACGGTGCCTACCAGTTAGCAGCTTTTCAACCTTATATGTATTTTTTTACAATGAGCCAGTAAACAAATGTATTTCTGCTGGCATTCCAATCCAGGAAAATCAAAGCCTCTGACTTAGACAGTCACTAAGTCACCGTTTCCAGTCTGGATCCATGACCCTGCTTAGCAGACTGAAAGTACAGAACTGGCTTGTCCCAGCTGGGCCACCATCCGGCAGCCCTGCCCACTCCCACCCCTGCCACCCGGATGGGCAGCTGGCAGGAGCTGGGCTAGGGGCTGGGGGGCTGGGGGCTGGGCCCTCTCCCGGAGGCCTCCCAGCATCCGCCCCAGCTACACCCCAACTTGGAAGGGTCACAGGGTGGGCCCACACAGCCTGTGCCGTCTCCTCTCTGGCAGGTTTCAAGTCAAAATGTCACTCCTGTCACTGTCGCTCAGCGTTCCTCCACTCTGCTGCTTCTCGCCCACCCGCTGCCGTGTGCAGAGACACGTGGGAGACCTCCCCACACGCACCAGAGCTGGGAGCCAGGGCAGCAACGGGGACGGGGCAGCAGGGGCAGGCAGGACAGGGAGGCGGACCGTGGCGGGGCTGGGGGGCCCGGGGCTGGGGGCCGACGGTGGGGAGGCTCCTGTCGCACAGAAGTCAGCCGGCTCCAGGTCCCGCATGCAGGAGGCCACAGGCCTGTACAGCCTCCCCAGCTCCCCCATGTCTTGACCCACTGGACTCTCTCTCTCCCTCTCCCTCCCCCCACCCGCCACCAGACTTCTTGCCCAGCTCTGCGAAGCTATGAGCCCACTGCCTCCCTGCGCTTTCTTCCTGGACCCCGTGCAGTTGGTTTCTGGCTCAGACACAAACTTTGCTGAAAAACGGTTTTCATTACGCTCTCCCCACCCCCATCGCCAGCTGGACCCCTGTGCTTCACTGGCCAAGGAGGGGCCCAGGCCCTGGTCGGGGTGGGGGGGCAGCTGTGCAGCCCTGGGCAAGTGCTTCCCCTCCCTGAGCTGCCAAGAAGCTGCGGGGGTGGGGGTGGGGTGGGAGGGAGGTGAGGACGGGGCTTCCCACAAACAAGGAAACAGAGACCTGGCTGCCACACCACCCAGACAGTGGCCCCCAGCCACGTGCACTGTCCAAGTTAACCAAAATGAAATGCAAAGCTCAGGCCCTCCATCACACTAGCCCCATTTCAGTTCTCAGTGGCACATGTGGGCAGTGGTGACCAGGCTGGGCTGCGGGACCTGGAAAGTGGCCATCATTCTAGAAAGTTCTACCGGGTTAGAGATTCACCCAGAGTCGCTCGGGTCCTACCTGGCAGACCTAGGTGGGGCCCAGCAGGCAGCTGAGCCGAGCGACTCTGCACTCGGAGTGCCACGCCCCGACTGCAGGTGCGTGGCCCTCATGGCTGTCTCCAGGTCCCCTCCCTGGCTTCCTCCTGTCCTCCTACCTCCTGGTGGTGTCTCCCCAAACCTTCCAGTCTCCTCAAACCCTTGGGGAAACACTGTTCCCCCCAGCCCAGCCTCTGTTCCTTTGCAGGTGCCTGCTCACTGGCTGCCTTGGGCCAGTGTCCACCCCACCCCAGGAGCTCCAGCCCACGACTCAAGAGAAACCTGCGCCTGGGCACAGCGGTAAAACACTGCCTGGGACACGTGCACGCCGCCTGAGTCCCAGCCCTGCTCCCCATTCCAGCTTCCTGCTAGTGCACACGCTACGTGGGTCCCTGCTCCCCACCTGGGAGACCAGGATGGAGTTCCAGGCTCCTGGCACTGGCCTGGCCCAGCCTCAGCTGTTGCAGGCATTTGGGGAGTAAATCAGACGATGGAAGAGGGGTGTGCGTGCGTGTGTGTGTGTGTGTGTGTGTGCGTACTTTTCACGTAAAAGGAAAAGAAAGGAAGGAATGATGGGTGGATGGATGGAAGGAATGGAGGAAAAACGGGTAGCTTTAAAAGAAGGAAGGAGGGAGAGAGAGAGAGCAAGCGAGCAACCTGCTCCTAAATAAACTCATGGCTTCCCCCACCTGACCAGCGCCTTTACTCTTTCAATGCTCTGGGTCCCTGGGGCTCTGCCACCAGGGAGGGGGCTAGGACTCCGGTCCAGGAGCCAGGCCTGCCCCGTGGGGTCTCCATGCCGCCCCCCGCCCCCCAACATTACCACTGCCAGCTCAGCGCTCAGGGAACCTCCCACCTCCTCGCATGTCAGTCACGAGCCTCCCCCTCTGCCCACCCTGCCATCCTACACCTCCTCCGTGAGAACAAGGATTTGCAAGCCCCTCCCACTTCCAAATCCCTCTGCCCTTGCGGGCCAGTGGCCGGGTCCCCCTGCAACCTCCCACCCTTCCCCCTCCGCCAGCCCTGGCCCCCCCCCTGAGGACACTCAGCACCTCTCAGGCCCTCTCCTCCCCCGCTGTCAGTCAAGTCAAAGGCAGCCAGGATTATTTAAAGAAATCCTGCAGGGAGTCCTTCGATGAGACAAAGAATCCTTTTGTTATGCAAATGAGCACACCTAATTTCCCTTGTTTCTGCCTTCAGGTTTAAAAATCAGTTTTCCAAGGAACTGCACACCCCTCCTCCATACCGCTCCCTGCCCCCCAGCACTCACACTCACACGCACACGCACACACGTGCACACACGCGCCTACCCAGAATTTCCTAATCCATGGCATGTGAAGGCTTCCTGCTCCTGGCGCACACCTCTCCAGCCTGTCAATCATCCCCGCCCCCACCCCTGCCCGAGGGGGTCCCTCCCTCTTCTTCAGAGCCTGCCCCCAAGACCCAGGTCCAGCAGCCATTCACCTCCCTGCCCCACCATTTCCTGCTTCTGCAGCCTCCCGGCCAGCAGCCACAGCCTCCCAGAACCCTACTGCTGAATACAGACAGACCACAGGCCCAGAGAGGGTGCATAACTAGCCAGGGTCACACAGCAGGGTGTCCCCAGGCCCTCAGCCCAGGACGGCTTGCTGGGTGTAGTAGGGACCCACGTTTGCCAGTGTTGTGGATGCGGCCGGCACACTGTGGGTGGCTTCTAGAATAGCGAGAGGCGAGGAGGAAGTTCTGACACTGGGAGCTGTGCACGAAGCCTACGGCGGAGTGTGGGGAGTGTGGGCCGGGCAGGCTCCAGCTCCGCTGAGCCGGGCGTGCAGAGCAGGGGTGGGTGCGTGGCAGGGTAGAGGGGCGGGGCGGCACGTGTGGAAGAATGAGGGGGCTGTCAGAGGGGTTCCGTGGGGACCGGGCGCCTTCTTCCTGCCCCAGCCCTGTTTTTGCCCACTCCCCCCACTGGCCGCATCTGTGTGGTCAGGGCGCTACCCTGAGCTGACCCCCTGAACTCAGCAGCAGGAGTCTGGGGAGGCGGGAGGCGGCAGGAGGTGGGCACGCAGCCCAGACGCAAGGGAGAGCACACCGGGAGTGGGCGCTGCCCGCACTCACGTTCCGTCTTCGTTGCTTCGGTAGAAGACCAGGAAGGGGTCGGATTTCCCGAAGAAGTCTTTCTTGTCCAGCTTGTTGGCACAGAACTGCATGGTGGCCACATCCTGGAGGAAGGGAGGGGGACGATCAGGGGGAGGCAGGCAAAGGGGCAGAGGCGCCCAGGGGCCCGGGCCCCAGCGAGCAGGAGGCTGCCCGGTGCCAGCCCTGGTCACAAAGTGTCTTCCATGTGCCCAATAGCCACTCAGGTGCCAGGCCCTAGGTGCTCTCTCTGGGGGCTCTCTGGGGGCTCTCTGGGGGCTCTCTCTGGGGGCTCTCTCTCTGGGGGCTCTCTCTGGGGGTCTCTCTGGGGGCTCTCTCTGAGGGTCTCTCTGGGGGGCTCTCTGGGGGCTCTCTCTGGGGGGCTCTCTCTCTGAGGGTCTCTCTGGGGGCTCTCTCTGGGGGCTCTCTCTCTGGGGGTGCTCACTCACTTCATCCTCAAACCTCAGGCACCGGCCGGCAGGTGCGGCAGTGCAGGCAGGGGAGCAGGCGGACTCTGGAGCTGGTCCGAGTGGAATCTGTCTCTGCCACTCCGCCCCAGCTGTGTGACCTCCACCGTGGGCAAGGGAGGTCCCCCCTGGGGCCTCAGTTTCCCCCCAGGGCTGGCTACGGATGCGCTGCAGGGGGCTGCTGGGAGGGCTAAGTGTCCTCCGCGGAGCACAGGCCTGAGGCCGCCCCCATCTCATTACTGCGTGGCTGGGGAAGGCAAGGGGATGACCTGCCAATTCTGAGCTGGGCCCACGTGGCCTTGACACCCCAGCTGGGCCCACGTGGCCTCGGCACCCCACCTTTGCCGTCCTTGTCACGCCCTGACTGGCAAGGGCCCCGCCCAGCACGAGAAGGGACCAAGGCCCAGCGAACTGCTGAGAATTCCCAGGCTCAGAGCAGGGAGCAGCTGCCCCACGCTCACCACACGGCTCCGTGTGTGACCCCCGGGTCCGGTTCACTGCCTCAGCTGACCCGTGGCACACCCCAGGAGCGCAGACGTGTCCAGGCCAGAGTGAGGACACGGGCCCTGCCCTTCCCAGGCCCCCAGGCTCTCGGCAGAGCCACCCCAGGGCCTCTCTCCACCGGTCCTCAAGGCGAACGTCTCACAGTGGGACGGGCTCAGGGCGCTGTCTCTGCCCATGGCTCCTGCCTCCGGGTGGGAGCGATGAGGTTAGTGACCCTTGGCCTGGCGTGGGCGAGATGGAACTGCCAGTTCCCATGAGTCGGAAGGTTGAGCCGTGATTGTGGGGGTATAACAGGTCAGAAGCTGGGGATTGGAGAAGTGAGGCCCCTGCTGGGGACTGGCAGCGCCCTGCCTCCACGCCACCCCCTCCCTGAAGCGGCGCCAGATCCCCTTCCCCGGCTCTTCAGGCGCCTGGCTTGGCTGGTTGACCTGGGCTGCAGGTGCCTATGCACATGGAGTTTCCAGGACCGACAGCGCTGCAGACGGGGTGGCCGGCTCAGGACGCGCCCGGGTCGGGATGGCTTTGAGCGCCTCTCCCATCATCGCCCTCCCAACGGGGAGAAGGAAGCTGGATTGGGGGCTCCCAAGGCCCTGGGAGGTCTGAGAATCCTGGAGCCTCCATGGAAACCTCGGATTTCAGGCCTGGAATAAGAGCATGGCTGGGTGGGCACCAGGGTGCAGCGGGTTAAGCCGCCATCCTATGACAGGGCGCTGGTTCCAGTCCCAGCTTCTCCACTTCAGATCCAGCCTCCTGCTGATGCGTCCTGGGAGGCAGCAGGTGGAGGCTCAAGTGCTGCGGTCCCTGCCAGATGCTCCAGGCTCCTGGCTTCAGCATGGCCATCCCTGGCCAGTGTGGACATCTGGGGAGTGAACCAGTGGAAGGAAGATCTCTCTCTCTCTCTCTCTCTCTCTCTTCCCTCCCCCCCCCCCCAGACAGGAGAAAAACAAATAAATAAACATTGTTAAAATGTGAGAGTGCATGGCTGACTCACTGAGCACCTGCCGAACGCCAGGCACTATGTTAGGGCTTCCTTCATCCTGCAAACAACCCTATGAAGTAACTCTCTCCATTTTACAGAGGAGAAAACTGAGGCTTTTAGTCATGTGCCCAAAGTCACACCGTGAGCAATCCAGGCAGTCAGACCCCAGAGTTTGCACTCTTATCCATCCAGAAAAGCATCTAAGGCATGGTGGGGTGGGGGTGGGGTGGAGGGCACGCTGTCCCCACAGCAAAGTTCCAATCCCATCCCCCGCTCGATGGAGGGAACACTGGATGGGGCTTCCCTGGGGAGCCCCACCTCATGCTCTGGCCACACAAGCTGTGGGCCCAGCGCAAAGGGAACGTGGGGGCCTTCTGTCCAAAGAAAGTAGAGAAACGTCAAGGTGGTGACGCAGCAGGGCACTAAACCAAGCAACTGCAGGGGTCACATGCCCACAGAGCCGGCCCCGGCTGCTTCCCACAGAGGCAGGTGCATGGCGTCCGAGCACCTGAGACACGAGCAGACCTGCTCAGGAGGGCAGCGGGGGGAGCCCCAGAGAGGAAGCCGGGGTTCCAAGGTGCGGTGCTGGCTCCGCGAGTCCTGGAGCAAGTCCCTCAGGCTCTCTGAGCCTCCCCTCTGCTTCCCGGTGTGCTGGGCAGGCTGAGCACCCCGGGGGGCTCTGAAACCCCGAGGTTTAGGATTTGGTGCTGGAGCAGCCAGCCAGCCACTGGGGGGCACCCAAACAGCCTGTCCTTGGGGGCAGGCTGCCACTCAGGGTCCCTCCAGCCTCCTCAGCACGTGGGCTGCTTGTTGTCACAGTGACTGCTCACATATGTGGCAGTCACCTGCGTGACAAGTAAGCAGCACTGGCTGACCATAAGAAAGATGCGCGTGCATGCGTGTGCACACACACCCACCCCTGACACCCCTAAAACACGCCACACACTCCTAGGAGAACCCCTCAGGGCCCTGTCAAATCAGGAAGGGGGCAGGAATGTTAGTAAAAGTAAATACAAATGGACAGACCGTGACTTCCAGGGCTGCTCAGTGCTCCACCGAGAGGCTGCCGTCCCGGCACAGTGCCTGGCTGAGGACCACACGGCCGAGCCACGGGCAGCCGGGCAGCCTGGGGCGAGGGACTTCACCTCTCTGAGGCCTGCTCACATGGAGAACGGTGTCCCCCGTGAGCCCGCTGGGGAGACGCGTGCCTGAAGGCGCCGGCATATGCTGGGCTCGGGTGCTCAGAGCCGTGCTGGCGCAGGGGCCAACTCTCGCCCAGGCCCTCCCTCTTCTGGGTGGAACCACTGCTGTTTGTCTACAAAAATGGCAAAATATGGGGCCGGCGCTGTGGTGTAGCAGGTTAAGCCTCTGCCTCCAGTGCCAGCATCCCGTATGGGCGCTGGTTCTAGTCCCGGCTGCTCTACTTCTGATCCAGCTCTCTGCTGTGGCCTGGGAAAGCAGAAGAAGATGACCCAAGTGCTTGGGCCCCTGCACCTGTGTGGGAAACCAGGAAGAAGCTCCTGGCTCCTGGCTTCAGATCGGTGCAGCTCCCGCCGTTGTGGCCAATTGGGAAATGAACCAGTGGATAGAAGACTCTCTCTCTCTCTGTCTCTCTGTCTCTCTCTCTCCCTCTCTGTCTGTAACTCTGCCTCTGCCTCTCAAATATATTTTTTTTTTAAAAATAGCAAAATAATCTGGTTCTACATTCTATGTGCCAGGCATGTTTTAGTATCTATTCATTCAGTTGGTCCTTGCACCAACCCTATGAGGTAGGCACTGTTATTGTCCCCATTTTAAAGATGAGGGAACTGAGGCACAGAGAAACCAAAGCCCTTGCTTGAAGCCACACAGCTAGGGAGAGGAGCTGGGATTGGAACAGGCAGTCTGGCTTCAAAGACTAATAACTGAGTTTCTAAATGATGCCCTCCGATTAAGATTAAGTTTAATCATGTTCTGCAGCCTCCGATGGAGAAGTTAAAGTGTGAAATCCATTTCAGAAAGGCTTCCATGCAGAGAGAGAGAGAGAGAGAGAGAAGCTGGCTCTGAGATTCAGCTCACTGGAAAAATCCACCGTGTACAGACACCTCACTCCCCGCTTACAGCAGCTACGTGAGGCGCTGCTCGGGGCTGGGGGCTTATTGCACTGTTCAGCCTGGTCTGCTTTGCCCAACACAATCCAGGGGCAGCAACATTTGCCGGGAGCCCCGTGTGGGCAGCTGCATTGCTGTGCCACTGCAGAACCCACAGGTGGAAGACAGACCTCCAGAGAGACTTCTAGACGGTGCCCAAGTCCCCAGCGCCAGCTCCGTCCCCGTGGGCAGAAGTCGCTGAGACCAGGGAAGCCTCCGCAGCCTGCACCTTTGAAGGAGGCCCCGACTTAGCCACAGGGACAAGGCTTCTGCTGCTCCCCTCACGCGATCACCCGTCTGATCCCAGAGCCTGGGCCCAGTGGCACCTGGAGCAGCAGGAAGCCGAAGCAGCACCCTGGGGCCTGCCTGTGGGGCCCTCTAAGCACAGAGAAGAGAAAGCAGCTCCCGCAAGATGTAATTTCCTGCAATTTCTGCCTTTCACCCTATCTTTAAAAAAAAAAAAACCATTAAGTTCTTCTAGAACAGCAGGATTGCCTCAATTTGCATCTCTCTGAATGTTAAGCAGACTTCTGGGGAGACTGTAGCCATCAGCCTCTCTCCCCAGGGGGGCCGGGCTCCTCCCACCTTCGCCCTCCTGCTAAGGGAGAGGGCTGTGGGGGTCAGAGGTCAAGTCCAGAAGCGGGCAGGGGGCTGAGGGCTGGCAGGGGGGGGGACGAGAAGGCTGCTCTGTCGTGGATCTTGCTGGTAGCCCCCAGGGTCAGACGAAGCCTAAGGTAAGTGCAGAATCTGAGGGGCCCTCACACCCTCAGTCATCAAAGCTAATATTCTAATTCATTATTTTAAAAATTGAAACCAGAGGGCAGGTGTTCTGGGCGAAGCCCCCACCTACCATGTAGCCCCGCCTCTCATTCCTGCTAATGCACCTGGGAGGCAGCAGGTGTTGGCCCAAGAGCTTGGGCTCCTGCCACCCGCGTGAAGATCGGAAAGAAGCTCTGGGCTCTTGGCGCTGGCCTGGCCCAGCCTTGGCCTTTGAAGGCATCTGGGGG